GCAATTCATCACGTTTGAAGCAAAAAACGTCCAATTCATTAGTCTCGCGACATCGGTAAACTTTTATGACCTCGGAGATTTCGCGAAAACTGACGCCAATTACTGGGAAAACTGGCCGTCGCGCGTGCTGCGGTCTGTGAATATGCCGTATATATGATGGAAAAATGCAATTTCGGTATCTCTAATTTTGTCGCTTTGCTGTAACGTCGTAAATTGTCGAAACCACCAATCGCTGCCGGGGGGGGGGGGGAGGAGGTCACACACACCCATTCGCGTACGCTTTTGCGACGCGATGATTGCAGAGACATACCGGTGCGCGACTGCGACGTACATGCTGATTGAGCAATCGTTTGTTATCAGCAGCACATCGATATTCAACGGCCAACGACGCAATAAAATATTTTTCCCGTGCATATGCATGCGATGCCGCTGCTATATCCGGAAAATCGATGGCGCATCGGCGGATTTTCTGCCGCGTCGCATCTGATGAAATACGGGCCGCCTTAGGAAGCACAACCGTGAATTCCGGCGGAGTCACGCAACGCACGGAGTGATGGAAAAACAAATCGGAACAGGCGAAATCGAATGTACATATTAATCAAACGGCGAGTGAAGTGCATTTCACGCCCGGAAGAATATCCATGGAGAATTCTGTTCAAGGATTCTCGAGAGCTACATTTTTTTGTCGTCTTGAATTATGGCACCGAGAAGATCGCGAGGAGGAACACACGACGCTTGTGTTCACAACGATATATCACATTAGAGACTTGACGTGTCAATGACCGTGTAAAGTATTGCTTGAGAATGCGAGATGCGAGAAACATGTGTGTGTGTGTGTGTGAAGGAATCTTGGAAAACATGAAATGATGATAAACTGCATTTGTTTTACAAGCGTTTCAACTTTTTCCGGATACCGGAACCGCTGCCACCGTACGCATTCATAAATTACGATCAAGACGATAGAGAGTCCATTGAATTATTCGAGTAAACACATGTAAGATAACATTCGCTGTAAGTAGGTTTATCTAATGAGAAGAAAGTGAATTGGAGAAAATTGAAGACAGCGGACGTTTCACTATCCGACTATCAGCTGATTTATGTTCGATGAGAAAAAGAAGAGAGAGAGAGAGAAGGAGAAAGACGACGCTCGCACACGTGTCGAAATGTATGAAGTACGAAAAACGGTTATAACGTGGCCCAACGGAATCGATCGTTTCTAACAGCAACATTTGAAGGTGCGAAAGCAATTTCGCATAAAACTAACGAGAAACGGTTTCATTTTTTTTCATACGTTTGATACGTTTTTTCTCTCTCCTTTTTGCCGTTCATTAAATCTTGATCGAACGGCACGTGGCCGTTACGGCCATTTTATTATTTTCATCGCACGTGTGAACCGCACTAACTTTTCTTGGTCGAACTTTAAACTGCAGCTGGTGCAACACCGCCAGCCACTACGTCTGCTGTCTTTAAACACGCGCCGGCAATAAGTACTGTAGCGGATTTATTCGCGAACTGTTGTACATACACAGCTCGGAGCTGTGAGCTCGTTTATCACGAGGTGCAAATATCGAAAATGCGCAATCTGCACAAGTTACGAGCTGCGCGTTTTACCGAAACAAGCGCGACAATTAATAAACACGAACCATGTACCATTTTTCGGTGTCGACAGCAGAAATGATCTCAGAACGCACAAAGGTGATGGGCTATTAATTAAAATAATTTTCCATCTCGTAGATCAAATAAAATGGCAATTTACTTTCAATCAGTGGAAAGTTTAATCTCGCCTCTTTTTTTCGCCGACTGTTTTAATATCAAAATTTCGCTACGATTTTATTAACCTTGGCGGCAAAATGAAAGATACGATAGATTACGAAACGCTTTCACCGCGCGAATCATATTTTCGTAAATTCAAATTAATTGATTCCCCGAAACGTTTCGAAGAAAACGCAAGTATCCCACGTTTCTGCGAGTCCCCGTGCTACGAGCAAACTATCAAATACAGGTGGTTCCCAAGACGAGAATCGATCGTTGACCCAAACCGGTCTCTCGAACGAAAGTCACGGGAGAAAGGAAATAAACGACGATCGGGATATTGTATGTCACAAAACACACGTCAGCACTGTGTATATAACGTGAGGACTTTCAAACGGCGGAACTATTCGCACGGTAGAAAACGATGCGACCCACTGACGAGATGCTAATCGGAAGAAAGTTATCGGCACGTTTCTACGAATGATTACATGGTTTATTAATTACGTGATTATCGAATACGGTGATTATCGAAAAAATTTAAAAAGCGCAATTTATCGCGCAAACCGCGTTTGCGAGGAGGATTTAAAAAACTCGCACATTAATTTTCTAATAAATTCTCTGAATTTTTTTCCACTAGCTCATTTATTATTATTTAATACTTTTTTTGCATTATTTTCTTTAAAAAAGTTCACATTTTTGAAAATACGATTTTATCAATAAATGCACTTAATTAAAATCTTTTAATAAATTACTCAGTAATAGATTAACTGGCAGGAACCAATTATTCTCGCATTTAATCGTAATATTTTTTTTTCGGAAGCGCTTCTTCGTAACGTTAATACGTTTCGTCCATTGTGAGTCCATTCACGCTCTTACTGTATTACATTGAGAGGGTATATGTATGTAGATAGAGGTAGCATTCACACACACACACACACCATTAGAACCTTTTATGCGTGAGATGCTGCAAAGATACATTTCACTAACCTGACCGTGCTATATCAAGAAAACGTGATCTGCTTATATGCATCATTTTAAAGACGAAACGAGATGTCGACATTGTGCGGAAAATCCTTAGAGAACTTTATTACGAGGGAACATCAAAGAGTAAAGGAACTTTTTAAAGGATCTGATTTCTTAAATGTCTCTTTACTTTTTGACTTATTCTCATAATAACATTATTTTTGTGCAGAGTAAAAATTCTATCCAATTTTAAATATTTATCAGAATATATCTATTGTCTAAAAACGATATAATTATATAATGCTGTAAAAAATATCAAACACAGGCAAAAATTTGTATCGAGAAGTCAATCCTGTGATCTACATTCCGAGAAAAATAAATATTATGAAGTATATTTTATAGCGTATACAAGAGTTAAATGGACCAACGTGTATATTTTTGTATAAAAATCTTATATTTTTTATTGTTGTTTTTTTTATAGTTTTTTTGAAGTGTTTTTGTTTACATTGTGAAATATTGTAGTTTTTTGACTAACCAATACATGTCCATTAAATTGAAACATATGTAAAACAGCAATCTCCAACATAGATAAATGAAAATATTTTGCAGGAATTTTAATTCTGCCGCATCAGCGTATGCAAACCTATTTTACATATAATTTTTTTCGGGAACAATCGGAACAATTTATTTTCAACGTTCATATCGTGATGGGAAAAAAAATTAGTTATTCTTTGCATGATCAAACTTGTGCTAACTCGGCGTCGAATAATTGGAAATTCTATCTCGAGTCTGATCTAAGACAAAGCGTCAAGAAGTCACAGCAGTTGGTGCAAATTGAAGCAATTAGTCGCGAATCAAGCATGGTCGAGTGGAAAATTGGAGCGAAAGAGATCGAGTATTGATCCAGTTCGACTTATCGAAGTGGAAGCTCCGTCCATGATTGAATTGGAATTTTCAACTGCGTCAAACTGCTTACCGTCGCTTACTACTCTGCTTACTTTAAATTCATAAGTACTTGCGCAATAATTTGCATCGGCGTAATTATTCCACGAGCCGAATTTTGAATCAGATGTACCGCAAGTACTGTAAAGTAAAAAGTACACAGCTCTTATGTGTATTATAATATATAATATAAACTGCGTGAGTATAGAATATAAAGTGGCTACGCTTGCACGCTGCATTGCATATCTAATGAATCGATAAGCGTCGTTCCACTTTCGAAAGTTCACCGGGGGACCCTCCGAGTGTGCGACGCATTACATAAATTATTACGAATGCGCGAAACCGGCGCCGATTGATTCCAAGGGTAACGTCGCGCCCGCACTTGAAATATGACGAAACACCGCGATTACGATTTATTTGTTTTCGATTCATGCATTATGCATTTAACCGCGAAATCTGCATAAATATCGATTACCGCTCGCGCGCGCACATATGCACGCGCGTGCACACACGACACATGTAGTCCGCATTAATAGTCAGCCGCGGTCACCGCGAATACGTTTGCGGTTCGCGTTCTGTGTCGAATTGTCAGGGCGGATAAGTAATACTCGAGCTTTATCAACGAGACAAGAGCATACGTTGCGAGTGGTCGTCTCGCCGTCAAACCGGATAAATCCCGCGATAAACGCGGCGGCGGTCGCAATTACAAGCGATGTATCAGCCCGCCGTGGGAAATTATCGCAGCGCCGGCCGCCGTAAAAAAGAATCTAGACTAAAGTAACTTTATTGCGGAGCGATAGTCTGCGTTTACGCGAAGATAGAGCTACGCCCCGCGACGAGGAACAGCGTTCGCGAGGAATACTAAAAACTGTAATCACCTTCTTTCTCTTCCTTCGTGCGAAATGACAAGTTAATGCGACCGTTACACGCTGCAATTTTTTTGCCACAATTTTACTGCAAGTTTGTGTCAAATACATATGCATGAAGACGTTTAAATCTCACTCTGTGCCCTCGAAAATCCAGAAGACATCTGGAAGACGAGAGAAGACGTCTCGCCTACTAAGACGTTTCCACGGCGTCTTTTAGACGTTTCTTTAGCCGCCTCTTGTGCTGCCTGCGCTTTTTCCGGCCAACCTTATCTTGAACATGTTTTGTCGTAGAAATTGTCGTAGACGCTGTCGCAATGTAGCCCGCAACTGTCATGTACTCGCGTGTGATGCGGAAACCGATAATTTAGTCGAGCTAATGTCGCCCCACTCGCCTGCTCCTCCCCGCTTCGCATAAGTCGCGTCGCGCCGATAAACCGCGCGTTCTCACCACGGTCTCTCTTTGTCTTTTCGCAGAGCAACTTGACAGACGGGGAAGAAGATCTGCCTGAGGACGCTTTCTCGCTGCTGTCGGTGCTCCTAGTTGGTTCGCTAAACTTTCCATTTGATCGATCGCGAGAAGTCGCCCCTCGAAGACTGCCTCTCCCGAGAGTGCCTGCTCTCGGAGGCTCCGATCCGATCTCGTTCAATCAAATCGCAATAGTTTTTATCTTCTCTCCCTTTTCTCTTCTATTTCTCTTTTGTTTCTTGGCACCCTACCGCTCTTATCTTCCATATCGTTTTCCCCTTACTTTCCCCCTCGCATCCTCTCACCGCCTAATATAACTGATAGAATCGCATAAATTCTGATTAGACAGGAGCCCTGAAGACAAGTATTATAATTTCTGTTCCACGCTCGTTATGAGCTGTCACTATGTGTCTTATTTCTTATCTTATCGACGTGCCTTCGAAACATGAATCGATATAGTCACCAGAAATGCAGACATTTCGGCTGTGCGAAGATCTTTTCATTTAAGATTCAGCAGACGAAGAATCGAAAGTCTCGACTCCTAAATTTAAAAAAAATTATTATGTGTTGTAATCGATTAATAACTTATTAGTCACATTTCAATTTAAATGCTGATCTATTTGTATTATTTAGAATTTAATTCTGTAAAGGCGAAATATGTCAGACGAAACGATATGATATTCTGCTTAAAAAATTGCAGTGCGTGCAGAAATGCTTCCTGAAATTTTTTGGGACAGACAGCAGGATTTTTCTTAGTCAAGTCTGAATTACTGTATATAGAATGCTCATGTTATCGAGAAAATACAGGTTCGCGAAAATAAAGCTTTGCGCAGCAAATTACATACTCTGCTGAATCTAGTCTTTTAAAGGGGATAGACGCACGAGCTGGAACGGATTTGCCGTATCCTCGTTTATTCTATTCACCTAAATTCAGTCTATCTTTTTAGCATTCACACTCGCGATTTGATTACCTATATTGCACTGAATATTAAAAATTATTACCAGAACGAAATGAAGACCAGTTCCGAATTTTTCCTAATCAAGCACTGGGATCACTTTATTCGAAAGAAAAATCGGAGTTCCCGAAGTTCAGCACGTAAAAAGTATCGACGATCGCACGATGAAATATCTTAATTTTCAAAATTCCTCGAAAGATGCTATGTCTATTGTGAACGGCAGCATCCGTACATCCGCGCCATGTCAGCATGACGTCCGCGGTTTTCGTCGATCCGTTCCGCGGATCCGATTCGGTGAATAGCGGTGAGTAATATTTCATCGGTGACATCGGTGCGGATTTCTTAAGGTACGGTAGCTTCGAGGGGCGATGTGTTGAATAGCAGCGTGTGTCCCGGCGATTCTCCTACGAGCCTCTGCGATATCCGCAGGATTTCTCCTCGTGATCCTCATATTCTTCTCCGTCGCCGGCAACGTTTTGGTCTGCGTGGCAATTTACACTGACCGCGGGCTACGGAGGATCGGCAACCTCTTCCTGGCCTCCCTGGCCGTCGCCGACCTCTTCGTCGGTGGGCTGGTGATGACCTTTGCCGGGGTCAACGATCTCCTCGGCTACTGGATCTTCGGATTGTGGTTCTGCGACATCTGGATCGCTTTCGATGTTATGTGCAGCACTGCCTCTATTCTGAATCTATGCGCCATATCGCTCGACCGTTACATACACATCAAGGATCCCCTCAGGTGAGATCGATTCCAAAGGATAATTCGTAAATGAAAAAAGAAAGTCAATTTCATTAAAAAGTTTTTTTAATGAAAGTGCGAAAGACATAAAAAAAAATTAAATAAAACTCATTAAACTGTTTTCTGCTTCCTATAAAATCCTCTGTAAAGAAAATTTAATTTAATCCAAGACGACCACATACGTATAGCTTTTTAGTAAGAATGAAGAAAATTAAATATAGAAAGGATTATATTGTTCTTTCAGATACGGCCGTTGGGTGACCAGAAGAGTTGCTATTGGCGGCATCGCCGTTGTGTGGCTCCTAGCGGGGCTCATATCCTTCGTACCGATCAGTCTAGATCTTCACAGGAATGACGATCAACCTAAGTACAATGACGGAGTGGAGGTACGAGAATTCGTTCACGTCAATTGAATCGATTAATATCAATATCCCGGCAACATCGAGTGGTCTACTTAAATATGTAAAACGCGCGACGGAGTGATTTTCGTCCTGCTCTCAATTTCCCGAAGCAAACTATCGGTTTTAATTATCGGATAATCCTTTCCATTCGAATTTTATGAAATATATGCATTTTGCCTACAATATCTGGGGCGTGCATGTAATATTAAAAAATCTGCAATTATAAATATTAACCAGCTGCGATATATCGGCTGTGTGAAATTAAATTCGCGCCGCCGAGCTCCGCGGCGGCGGCACGCGAATCGCCGCAGATTGTTGCTTTGCTGAATATCAGAGGGATTAAAAATAAATGACATTTCTCCCATTTCACCCCGTCGCGCCGTGTGCGGTTTGCGCAATCCTCGCGTCCGTTAATTAAACCTCGTCTTTTACCCTTACAGGAGCACCCTACGTGTGCCCTAGACATTACACCCACTTACGCGGTGGTGTCTTCTTGCATATCTTTCTATGTGCCCTGCATCGTGATGCTGGGTATTTATTGCAGGTAAGACCGCCCATCCGGGCGCCTCGCGCGGCGCCTTCATAGCTACTCGCGAGTCATTAATTTAACTTTTTACTTCCGTATTTGCCGTAATCTTTATAAGCGATGCGGCTTGCACGCTGTTTCGCGAAACATCATCCGCCTCCGTGGTTTCGAGCGAGCTTCTTGGAAAACCAAAATAGTGCGTCGTTCTCGGAAAAGCACACCTACGCTAAGGTAAATTGTGTGCGCCATAATAAACATAAATATATCGTAAAATTTCTTGGTGGAACATCGTTGTCGTGAGTGTTAATAAAATAAATTTCCAAGAAGTTCAAAACATTTTCCAGGGAGTTTTATCAATTTATCATTATTACACTTTGTTATTTATTTAAAAGCTTACATAAAGATACAGTATATTGTTTATTTCATCGTTAAAAAAATAGCATTTTAAAGTGCGCCGATTATAATTGATAAAAGAAGCTTTTTTTTCACTGATTGAAGAACGTTTTTTTTTTTCCAGGCTCTATTGCTACGCGCAGAAACATGTAAAGAGTATCCGTGCGGTGACGAAGCTGCCGGACACCTCTATGGCCAAGAGTTTTCGTTCAAAGAGCAGTCGCTGCAAGCCGCCGAAGCCGCAGACGAAGACGAAGCCGACCAGCCCTTACCACGTGTCCGACCACAAGGCCGCGATCACCGTCGGCGTAATTATGGGCGTATTCCTGATATGCTGGGTGCCCTTCTTCTGCGTCAATATTGTCGCAGCCTTCTGCAAGACCTGTATATCTCTCCGAGCATTTCAGGTATACGATTACTCTTTACACTCTGAGATCGCTCATTTTATTTCAACTATTAGGGATGCACAAATTTCCATCGTTCATGTATAGATTATTCGTTTCAAAAATAGAGATATTCTTTTATCGCGATATTCATCTTTTGCCTGGCAAAAGGCAAAAGGTAGTAGTTAATACCGGATAATATTTTGACTAAAAATACTCATCATTTATGAGATATTATTAAAGAAAATTGCTTTAAAAATGGTGGAAGCTTTTGGGAAACATTCTTAATACAATTTTCAAAATTAAAAACTAACATTTTCTTAAGGAATTTTTTTCATATTAAATTCGTAAGATTTAAATATCTGGAACAATGAAATCTCAATATTTAAATGTCGCGCGGTTAAGAGTCGTTTCTTCTTTTCGAGCAGGTTCTCACGTGGCTCGGCTACAGTAACTCGGCCTTCAACCCGATAATCTACAGCATCTTCAACACCGAATTCCGGGAGGCGTTCAAGAGAATCCTCACGAAGGGAGCGCGCGCGCGGGGCAATCAACCGTCGACCAGCGAGTGCGGTGAGTTCCGCTCCGTTGTGGTGCAGAAGCGCAACGGCTCCATGGTCGAGTGCAACATCAGCCCGAGATCGAGCGCGGACAGCTGCCAGGTCGGCGTAATGGCTCAACGGCATCGCGACACCATCGTCAGCGCCATATAAATGTCAACGAGCGTCTTCAACTCTCTCGATCATCTTAAATGATTTTCTCTCTTGGATCTCACTCGCCGCTTGCCTCCAGAGTCGTCGTTTCACCCTTATTATTCTTAATGAGGAATTTGCGAAACAGAATCTAGAGACACATTGACATCGTCTTATAGGAAGTGACATGATGTGCAAATTTGAATATGCTGTATCCAAAATAATTTTTACCGTATTGATTTCGTGTCGAAAAAAAAAACTTTCGATTATAAAACAGTTTTATTTCGATATTTAAAATGAACAAATCACTGTTTGTTACTTTGCTTCGAAGTTGCAGAGAAAAATCTATAGTAATCGATGAGAAATTGCACTTCCAATGGGACGATTGCGCGGTTATCGTTTCGTACGAAACTTGCATCAATGTACATAAAACCTACATACGACGTCGCTTGTATCAACAAGCGAGCAGAGTTTATTCTTGCGTGCTAAACTTTAGTATTTGCCTCCACGAAGGATCGAAGCACCGAAGCGCCCGGCTGCTCGAAGGAAGACTTGCAACTGCAGTTACGACGGCACCGCCTCGCTAGCTCGTGTAATATAAATGTAAAACTGAGGACGCTGATAATACTCAATCATATTACTGAATCTTTCCTCCATCAAAACGTAGTGCGCGGTAGTTGACGCGGCTACACGTAATATCAATGTTCTAGTTAGCTATCATTGACACTCGGCCAGTGGGTAACGTTGCTCGTGTCTCTTCGACGTGTCGGATTCTAGAGAAACAATATAATAAATGCTCGAGCAATAAAAACTAAGATATTACCGGATATTACAGACCTCGTGTCCTTATCTTCAGAACAATCGTCGTAATCCTTGCGATTTGAAGCGATTAACTGATGAAAAATGAGCGATGCGAGAGTTTGTTCAAAGTTTGCGATTTTTGTTGTAAAGTGCATGAGAATTTTTTTCATCACGAAAGAGCAGCGGGAGGCTGTGGTGTATGCGCGACGGGTCGCGAAGACATCAGTCACCATAATTTAAGACAATCACCAAAACTTACTTCGAAACATATCCAGAAGACATAATCCACCGAAATTTGTAGTGGTTTTCTTTCCATTCATTTATTTATTACTCAAACGGTACGACGACAGGCATAGAGTGGGATTTGTCGATTAATAAAGGAATCCGAGTGTAGCGCTTAGGATACTAATCTTGTCAAGCAATCATAATTCTCTAATGGAGCAATGTCGATAGCCGATGTTAAAAGCTGGATGTTACTCGAGATACCGATACGTTTCTAAATAGTAACGTCTGTCGAAACGTCATAAAACAAAAAAAAAGAAAATACTTTATAGCAATAGGTCAGCGCGACGGCGCGCGAGACACGCCGTGAACTACAGAATTCATTTTCCATCTTGTAAATAGCCATTTAATTATTTTTCTATTTGACGGGGCGCGAAAGGGATGCACGGAGAGATGCTCGCGGGGGCGCGGAGATCTCGACTTATGGGCGCGCTCATCGGGTAAACTAGCGGAATCGAGCACCCGTCGAATCTAAACTCAATTCTGCATTACATATCCAAGCGGAAGGAAGTAGTCACGAGCCAGTTTGGCATTCGTGAGGATCCGTCGAGCTTCCTTGGTACATCTATATCTACGATACAAAGCGCATTGCGATCCGGTATGAGAGAAAGAGAACGAGAAAGAGAGAAAACTACCGGCGTACACGAATGCATATTGTTGCTGTGGAAACGAAATGGCTGAAGGAACGACGTAGAGCTCTCTAGCCGGCACGACACGTGCGCAATGTTGATGTATACTACTGATATATTCGAATGACCGTTCTCTGTAAATACATTAGACTAAGACTTCGACAAGAGTATTCGATCTGTGGCTTTTTTTATTGATTCCTTCTCTAGCTCACATCCTGCATGGGAAGCGAAATGTGAAAAGAAATTATGAAGATTAAGCTTATCGTAAAACGATAAATCCGACGAATGATTCTTCTGCAAGATTTCAAATATTTGTTTATTATAACTCAAAATATTATACTTTATGCGTAACTGAAGCGTTCAACTTCTATGATTTGACTTTTTCTGATTGCTCTGAGGCTTCTACGTACAGAAAACGATGCAAAAGCTGCTTTTATTGTCGATATAATTAATACACAAGGATATCCAGGCAAATTCTAACTACAAGAATATAGAAATATCTAAATATTTATTGACTTCTAATTTTCTTGAACAATATTACATTATTATTTTCGATATGCCTTTCTTTCGCTCTACCGCTGTTGAAGAATTCAGGCGTAGTGTCCGTCCACATGCGATTCTCCTTTGGGACATTCAAGAAATCGAGCAGACCGCTGCTCAGTCTCGGTGCAATTGGATATAATATTAAGGCAGCTATTCTACTACTCTCCAGAGCAAGCGAGATCACGGCTTTGAGTTCGTTGATCGAATCCGCGTCATCGACTCGCTTCCTCAGCTGCCAAGGTTCGTGATACGCCACCATTTTATTCGCGGAATGGACCATACTCATCACCGCGTCCACAACGTGATGCAAATTGTACTCGTCGTAACTCTCGCCCGCTTTTTTGCCCACAGACTCTAAAGCTTCCCTGATTTCGTCGGCTGCCTGTGACCGCAACACGTTCCAGTATTTCGCCGGATCGGGAAACTCTTTGGATGGATTGATCGCTTTACCCGCGCAGCGACTGACCAGATTGCCCAACGAGTCCGCCAATTCCGAGTTCAATGTGTTGACAATTTTTGTCGAACTATAATCTGGAATGCAAAAGATTGTGTAAGCTTAGGAAAGAGATGATACAAATTTTACAAATATGTAAGAGTATTTGTCTTACTTGCATCATTCTGCGGCACTGCTTCTCGCAAAATAAAGTATCGCAATCCCTCTTCCGAATAATCGTTCGCCGCTTTAAAAGGCGATATTACGTTTCCCTTCGACTTCGACATCTTCTGATGATCAACGGTCCAATGAGCATGACACAGTAATGTCTTTGGAGGTTCAAGTCCCGCGGCTATTAAAAACGCTGGCCAATAGACGCCGTGGAATTTCAGGATATCTTTTCCAATTATCTGTATCGATATTTCTTTTCTTTAACATGTCTGTTTTCTTTTAGGTATTATCTAAGAATTCCGATGCTTACTTGAACAATGGGCGGCCAAAATTCTTTGAATGATTCATTTGGATATCCTAAGACCGTCAAGTAATTTACTAGAGCATCCATCCACACATATATGGAGTGAGATTCATCGCGCGGGCAAGGCAGAGCCCACGGCACCTTATTTCTAATTCTAGTAACGCTCAAATCTTGTAAACACGTGCCTTCCTCTATCCACTCGGACAACGTTTTGTGATACAACGCCGGTCTCACTGTGTTTTCTACAAAAGATCCAGAGTTCATGATTTGCAGCGATTAAAGAAGAAGAGACTAAAGATTCCACGCTTCTTATACCATCTTTGAGCCAATACTTGAGATCATCCTGAAATGCGCTAAGCCGGAATTTGTAATTTTCCTCCTCCGTCCATTCCGCCGTGTTCCCTGATTCAGCGGAAACTTTAATTACTTTACCGATTGAATCTTTCTGCTCCACCAACTCCGTGTCAGACAAGAATGCCTCGTCCGATACGCAATACCATCCCGAATACTTTCCCAAGTAGATGTGTCCTCTTTCTTCTAACCGGTTCTGAAAACATTAAATTACCTAACATGAATCAGGATGTTAGAAACGTATGCGTGTAGAGATTGAGATAAAGTTATTTCTATGAACCCAAAAGTGATGCACTGCATCACAATGTTGCTTTTCTGTGGTTCTAATGAAACGCGAGTAATCCACTTCAAACCTATCACACATTTCCCGGAATTGCTGTGAAATTTTATCGCAGTATTCGAGATTCGGCAGGCCCGCCGTGGTCGCGGCAGTTTTGATTTTGTTGCCGTGTTCGTCAGTGCCAGTGGTCAAAAATGTTTTGTGACCCAACATAGTGTTATATCGAGCAACAGCATCGGCCAGAACCGCACTGTACAAATGTCCGATATGAGGACCTAATGTATAAAACATTTGTAACTACTATAATTGGATGATAATTAATGAGAGAAGTTATTAATTTGAAGAATATTTTGCGTACCGGCGTTTACGTAAAAAATAGGCGTAGTAATATACATATTTTGAGATAGATCTTTTACATATTGCCTCTTTATTGTTTGACTCCATGATGACCGTACGTTTTTTAACAGGAATGGAAATATTGACGATTTTGAGGACTGATACTTTGGAGTTATGTGTTTAACTGAAATTTAAATTAACAGTTATTATTTTATGTGGATAATTAAAGTTTATCAAAACATTTAAGAAGAAGAAAAACATATATTTTGCCTTACAAAAAAACTGTTTTTTAAAAATAAATATAAAGTAAACTTTATAATATCAATATAATTAACATACTTCAATATTATGTTCCCTTTAGATATGATTATTTAAAACAATATGTTAAATAAAAATAGTATTTGTGAATTTATAGAAAAAACAAGATACAGGTATTTAATCTCACAAATATTTATTTTTCTATTTTTATATACATATCACTAAAATATAATGAATATATTCAAGAACAATGAATATATTACAACAGTTTTTAATTTTTCTTCAAGATTCTAGAGATATTGTTTCTAACTGAGCTATAAGATCCATGTGTTTAAATTCATTAGGTTTCTGAGTGAATGTTTCAAGCAATTGCAATCTTTGTTTGTTATCATTGCAGTAATACAACTGTAATTCATTAGCTAGACATTGTGCTTCATGTACTTGTAACAATTTTGTGTCAAATTCTCCGCGCATGAGTACAACATTTTTATCATCTTTCAATTCGGTGTAATGTATCATAGTTAAACACTCAGGCGCGTTCTCTTTATGCGTCTGATACCACAAAAGAGGTGTCATGTGTACTTCTGATCCATAGAATTGACACATTATAAATTCATAACCTTGCTCTCTCGGTAATGGCAAGAGGAAGGTAGAATATTGTTTGCCGCGTGTAAACATTTTATCATACTGCTCAGGCGTCATAGTTCCACAGATGCAGTCCTTCTGCTTGTGATACTCGTTCCATATTTCTATGATTTCTTCCTTTGACTTATCTTTTATCAAATCAATTTTCATTACGCTATCTAATCGCTGTTCTTTTGCCTGCGCACTGGATTCCAAACCTGGCTTTGCCTCAGTTTGACAGAACTTAGCAGCTTTCTCACGTTTCTCTTTAACAGTAATGTTCAATACCTTTATCACACAATAATCCGACTCTTAGAACTAATGTTTTTAATATGCATCGCTGACAATTTGTAATCATAAAATTTGCAAAAACTCTACACTATCAATATCTAGATAAAACTATATTTCCATCAAAATAAAAAGGCATAATGTATAATAATCATAAGGAAGGGGAATATAAATGATCCTTTCAAATAATCAAAATAATTAATATTGCAGGAATGTGCAACTTTACAAACTTGAAGGTTATATACCTTTCTTCTCGCGAACTTTCGTCTCCTGCTGCTCAACGCGTTGCAAAAACTCATCCGGACTAGTTTGCTGCAGCTTCGCGATTTTCTGTGCGTACTTATCATAATAAGGATTTTTCTCCAGCTCCTGCAAAACCTTTTCGAGTCTCGCCCGGCTTGTCATGATAGACCTCTCAACGCTTGTCCTCGTAGCTATCCGAATATCCTTCAGCTGTCCATGTAATCTTACACGTGCTGCGTTTCGCAGTAAGACACTTGCCATTGGCTGTCAATTGATATCAAACAAAAATAGGAGTAATCTCTCTGGAGCACAAGTTCATCAAAGCTTTATGTATAAAAAACGTAGTCTGCCATCGTCTTGAATTGCGATTGACGTCAGCAGACGAAACCAGATGTCACCGGCGGCGCTTTAAATCTCTTCGCTAAAACTTGTGCACACTTTCCGATCACTTGCAGTGCTGTATAGCGCTGTAGCGGTGTTGCTGGCATTGTTATTCGCTGGACGAGCCTCAGTCGAATGTTTATGTGATGGACAGCCGCGCTGGGCACGTTCAAACAATAGCTTATAAAGATACGAATAAGTAGCACGAGGTTCCGGTACGCCAGTGCCGTAACCACGTGAAAGCGGCACTCTTTGACCCACATCTCTCATAAAGATCCGGGTTCGCAAGTTGTATTGTCGTAAATCTGCTCGATACCTCTATCTTAGGTTTCTATCATTCATTTCACCTGAAACACCGCTTCTATTTTTTGCGTCGTAAGCCACAAGTTTCGATCGAACAGTTGCCGCGAAGCTATCGCAGTCGTGAACGTCAAAAAATTCTGAATCGACGTCATCGACAATTTTGTATATCGCGGCTTTTTCAAGATCCGTTATTTCGTCACGCGCGCTACGGGCCTGAGCGGCAGGTACTTCGTTCTCAAGCGAGCGACTTCACGCGGATCAGTTGTTGGATGTGAGGAACGCTTGGACGAGCGACGCGGTTATCCGCACACGCGATACGATCGCGAATGAAATATACGCCGATTATCGCGCGCGCGTACCGCTCGGCACGATCGTCGTCCGCGTGCGACATTGCGCGCGAGTAGCTTCATTGAGCGGCAGTGGGCCGCCGTCTGGTGCGTGACGTATAGCTTCCGGGACCGTCGTCAGTTGCTGCTATCTCGTGTCCATAGCGAAAGGGAAAATGTCGGCGCACTGTCGACGGGGCTTGTCGTGCCGCCAGTGACCACTCGCCCGACACGTAATAACGACCGCATCGCGAGCCCGGTGATCTTAACTCCAACGGAATTCGGTCGGTAAAGAGTGCTGAGCTCTCATCAGTGCGTATCTCAATTTGACTCGACTACGCGCGAGAAAGAAAGAGACGGCTGGAAGAAAGGAGGAGAAAGAGGGAGTGAGCAAGCGGTGAGATTGCGGGACGCAGAGCGTGAGTGGAAGAGAGAGACGGAGAGCAGGTGCGAAACTACACCGCAGTGTAGAGGTCCCCGCGCAAGGGACGAGCCAGACAGTGTGGAGGAAAGAGAAAAGGCAGACGGAGGAGAGTTAGTGACATGGCGTCGTTAGCGATGTCAATAGTGAAGAATGAGTTCATCGTGGGCGGCAAGTACAGGTTGATGAGGAAGATCGGCTCGGGCTCCTTCGGCGACATTTACCTCGGCATCAACATCTCCAATGGCGAGGTAAGGGAAACGGAAACGGTTTTCTTCGCACGCGACCCATCGCTGGCCGCCAGCTCGCGGCCTCCCTCCGTTCGTATTTCCCGTTTCTGGCTCTTTGATCGCGAGCGAACTCACGGCTGTGATCGTCGTCGCGATAGTGTTTCCCCTATTTTTTTTTCTTTTTTTCCTCGACAACACCGCGATGCTCGCGCGACGAAACGGAGGCGAGATCGTCCGCGGCGCGAAACGGCGTCCGCGTTACGTCGGGAGATTTCGTCGGAGTGAAGGATTCGTTCGTCTGCCTTCCAAACGGCGAGGTCTTTTCGAGAACGATCGTGCGAGAAGCGATTTGCGGACGGATGTTCGCGAAAGAAGTGCACGCGTGTGTCGTGAATAATCGTTGACTACAATTCCATCCGAAAATTCGTATTGTCATGCGTATCGCGAATGACGTATGTAAGTCGCGACGCGGTCGAGATAAATATAAGTTGACGCTTGTCATAATAATGATGATTATCGGGATTTGGGTACGCGTATTTTGCAACCATCTGCAGAAGTGGCTCGCGGCAGATTTTTATGTCTCACTCGAGCTGGATTGAACAGCCTAACTAAACCTGCCTGTTATCCTGTATCTTACCAGGTTATAGTTTCACTTATAGATAAGAAAAATTGAATTAACAATGACGTCCGTGCGCTCGCGATGATGATGCAATTAGCCCTCATTTTATTCATTTTGCAGATTGTTTCTTTTTCAATTATCATTATTATTGGTGCACTGTGCAATTTATTTTAAGCTGAACTCAATTATGATCCATATATAGAAATGTGCCTATTGCAATATAATAAGAATACCAATATTGATAACGGCATATTTTTTTAGAAAACAATAAATGATTTAAGAAATAATAAATAGGTGATAATAAATGAGTCATAAATAATAGAATTTAAAGACTTAATGAAGAAGGAAGTCAAAATTAATATGAACTTAAATATATTAACTTTTACAATCAGCAGATAGCATTTACTTTCACATTCTGTTTTTAGACTTTAATTACTTTTTGAATTTTTTAAATTTTGTCTATTATTATTCATACAACATACATACATATTGTATTCAAGAAACAAAAGAAGTTTTTCTCTGCATAAAGAAACTATATTAACGCTTTACTTTATGAATTTAACTTCTTGCATCACGCTTCTAATCTTTGTATCAGATAAAACTTTGAAATGCAATTTTTACACATATACTGTACATTTTTATTTCAGGAGGTCGCAGTTAAGTTGGAAAATATGCGAGCTCGGCATCCTCAGCTTTTATACGAATCAAAGCTGTACAAAATATTGCATGGTGGCATAGGCATACCGCACATACGCTGGTAATTATTGCATTAATTTTTTTATTATATATTATTTAGATGATTCTCTATATAGATGTTTTCTATGTGTGCAATCGAAAGATTCATGCAATGTTTCATGCAATCAAAAGACTTTTTCACTTTTTTTAAAAACCATTGTAATGAAAGTTTTGCAACTCAAATATCATTTAAAATTTATGTGAATTTGATGACTAAGAAAACTTTTCTCACAGGTATGGCCAAGAACGTGAATATAATGTTCTTGTTATGGATCTTCTCGGACCATCTTTGGAGGATTTGTTTACTTTTTGTTCAAGAAGGTTTACGATTAAAACAGTCTTAATGTTGGCAGACCAGATGATCGGTAGGATTGAATACGTTCACTGCAAACACTTTATTCACAGAGATATAAAGCCAGATAATTTTTTAATGGGAATTGGGCGACACTGTAACAAGGTACATATTTTGATCTATTTCTACGCAATATGTCAGAGAGATTTCATTCCACATAGATGCTCTAAATTAAACAAATGTTTCAGTTATTCCTCATCGACTTTGGACTGGCAAAGAAATACAGGGATAGTCGCACAAGATTGCATATAATATATCGCGAGGATAAAAATTTAACGGGCACCGCGAGGTATGCGTCCATCAATGCACATCTTGGGATCGAACAGAGTCGTCGCGACGACATGGAATCACTCGGCTACGTTCTTATGTACTTCAATCGCGGATCATTACCTTGGCAAGGTCTCAAAGCGGCGACGAAGAAGCAGAAGTATGAAAAAATTAGTGAGAAAAAAATGTCTACGCCAGTAGAAGTCTTATGCAAGGTACGTCGGCAGCTTTACGCTAATCTTTTCACGTTCTCGCTTGTGTCATACGAGTACGATTTATTACTATTTTCTAGGGATTTCCCGCCGAATTTGCAATGTATTTGAATTACACGCGAGGTCTACGTTTTGAAGAAAGCCCGGATTACATGTATCTGCGCCAACTTTTCCGCATTCTTTTCCGTACATTGAACCATCAATACGATTATACATTCGATTGGACGATGTTGAAGCAAAAAGTAGCAAGCGGTACTGTTAGCGGCGGAGTATCAGCAGCTGGACCAGGTCTCTCTCAAGGTGCTCAAGGTGCTCAGGGGCAAGGACAAAGCCAAGGTCAGGCACCAACTCAAGCCAACGCTCAATCAGGTGCAATGAAAATGATGTTTGCAATAGACTTTTGATAGCATGTTCGCATAGTTTGTAGATTTCGCTAAAAATTCATGTGCGTCTTCGCGTCTCATCATTTCACGCTCAGTCGGAACGCTCATCATAATATTGCGCTCTGAATTGTTGAAACCTCACGCATTAATGTTTCTTAACCACTGTACTTAACGCCGAAGTACTGTTTATGTTTTTTAATTATATTGCTTATATGAGTTATCGTTTTTAACAGCAAATTACAAGCTTAAAAGATGGTTGGACCCCGCAAAACACAACGACGTTTCAATCGGCACAAATCATTCTTCCAAGAAGCCATAACACAAGCAGAGGCTCTTTGTATGCTTTTTCCCCTCCTTTCTGATCAACACTCGAAATTTTGCGGAGAAAATATATTTTCTTTACTTTACTAATGCTAACAACTGAAACTAATGGAGATTTGTATAAGTATGCTTGTATGCTAATTAACATTTAATAACAATTAATTTCACTCCATGACATTATGAATATATGAACTTGTATTAAAATTCACATTACATCCAAACTTTACTAATGGATATTCACTAAGAATCTATTTTCGTGATATTAATTTGTATTGTGATTGATACAACTGGTCACCTATTTTCATGTATAATAATTTAATGTTCCTATGTTACATCATGTCAATAGAATGATTAGTCTTAATGATTAAAATAGTCTTTTTTTTAAAAACTATTCTGAATTTGTTGTTGTTTTTGTTTGTTTTTAATTTATTTTCATCTTTTTATTTAAGAACATTGTTGAATCATTTGAAACATTGAAAGTGATGTATTCAAACTCATTATATTAAAGTTTTTTTTTTTTTGGTCTTTTGTTCCACACGCTGAACTGCTTTATTGTGCTATATTGTGCTTCCAGAATTAATTTCTTTTGATTAAGTAAGATTAGACTTTAGCGTCGTATACTGCATTTTAGAATATATATGTAATACCAGTGTTATTCTTGATTTTATCTGCGTATATCGCGCGAAGTGATACTGATCTCAAAAAAGTACTTAAATAAGACTTGGCATTTGCACTGCTGTTAAATGCAAAGCATTAACTTAAAGGAAAAGTTAAATTTGCATTATTCATAGCATTGTCGTGACAACAGAATGGTACGAGAATCATTTTTATGTAATTTCAAAAACAAATTTTTATTTGTTCCAGGAGCGCGCTAAGACTAACTCCTCATTGTAGCAACAATCTCGATCGCTAAAGTGTTTCAAACGAGGTACCGAACTTATTAAAAAAAAAAAAAGTTGTTATTCAAAGAGTCACATCAGTCAACACTCTAACTTCGCAGAGACGAAAATCCAATTATGTGATTACAAACGCAGCTTTCGTGCGTGCGCGACACGGGAAACATGATGTGTTGCACAATTACCAGGCTACACACGAGTTGTTTTCTGTGCAACTTAGAGTTTCGGTTGATTAAACTCTTTGGATTTGGAAACGAGTGAGAGACCAGCTAGCCAGAAAGTGGCTTGTTCTTATTTTGTTATTACATATTTAATTTACCGTTGGTAATCATTGAAAATAAAGGTTTTGATGCTCTGAAAGAAGATCCTTGTAAAAGAGTGCATGTGGTATCGGACTTGATTTATAGTGGGTGATTTAATCCGCGGAGTTCGCCGTGTAACTTTCATGGAGAGAAAGAGAGGACATTCAAACCATACTTTGAATGCTCGCGTTAATCCGTGGAGCGCGTCGTGTAACATTTTATATCTACTCTATGAACCGAAGGAGAGATAATGAAAACAAAAAGAAAAAGGGAAAAAAAAAAACAATACGTGAGTGTTTTGTGAGAGTATGAGCACTACCATTAGAGACGAACTGACATCCTTGCTTCCTGAATTTTTGTTTTGTCTTCAATATATCGTACGAGCATAATACTAGCGTATGTGGAATGTTGAGAAAATGTTAATATTTTTCTTATCACAAGAATGGCATGTCAATAGTATCAAAGATCCTGGCACGGTATCTTTGACACGCTTGACCGGAATAACTTTTTTTTACATGAATAAACGATCATGTTCTCCTACCCTCCCCGATATAATATTGACAAGTAAGAGTTAAAGATACCTTAATATTAAGACAACAATCTAACTTTTAAGTATGTACCGTATTATATCGAGTAACGAATCGTACTCCATCGAGAAACGAACAAAACGACTAACGATTCTACCATAGAGATATCCCTCGATTTACTCTCTTTCTGTCTGTGAATATGTTTACTATGAATTGCAAAAGAGTAAAAAAAAAAAAATGTCGCGAAAGAAAGCAGAAGAAACTTCGAAGTGGCGGGAAGTAGTTACAGGCTTACTCTTGCCTCGACGATGTAAAGGGTATTGTCTCGTTCGGAAAGTATCCCTGTAACTGAGGCTCTAGCTGAACAACTCTTCCGTATATATAGTTTTAATAGCTGAGACTGTGCAGTAGCTGTTTCACGTGCTGTTGCTTCAAATTTAAGTTTCATATTTTGTATACACATCACAAGGGACTTCATGACCAACAAATGTTCTCGTACATACATATTATATATATATATATGTATGTATATATACATATACACACACATATATATATATATATAAACAAATACACATACACCGAGAAAAAAAGAATTGCCTCGGACAGTCAGAATATACTTACTGATGTCGGTGATTACTAGAAAATTATCGTTTCTATCTCATTTAAGATTTTTAGTTGTATTATTCATTCTAGACGCTAAACTCTTCACGTCCATGTTTTTGCGAGCATTAGTTCCAAAAGAATATTATAATCATATATCTTTAACGAAATACTATTAAGCGTGCGTTACACGTCCTCGTAGTAGGTACTACCAGTCGTCCGGTCAGCCTTAACTGCGATTACGCACGCGAAGTTTTAAAGAAAAAAAAAAAGCTTATTAAATTTGAACAAGCGGATTTACGCTGCCTGGACACCTTTTGTTTTTTCTTTTTTTTTCTTCTTTTTTTTTGAGAATACGAGGAAAGATATAACCAATAACCAGTCCTCTCGATTGAATGCGTGATTAATTATTATTAAAAGAGAATAAATAAAAAGTGTAAAAGAGAGTGCGCGTCACCAATGCTGTGAGAGTGAATGAGCGAGTAAGTTAATAAACTAATGATATATGCACTTAAATACTATCCGCTGTGTGTATGTGTGTACGTATGTACGCGTACGGGATACGTGTACGCACATACGCACATATACATGCCTGTATGTATAATAAAATTGTGACAGTAATTAAGGCATACATTATTTCATAAATATTTGAGGATTACATCAACGGTTTACTGCTCCTTTTATCTCTACAAATAAAAAACTGGAATATTGTACTATAAAAATTTCTGTTTCATTAAATGTTTAGCGGTAATCGTGATAATATTATGATATCGGGCCGTTGCCTATATGACATGTAGCAACGGTGAAAGTATATATATGATATTTTGGTCGAGGTGGGTGACGTGCCTGCTCCGCGAGACCACGAACATTACTTTCTATAATTGTGATACCATCACCACTTAGGGTACACATAACAAAGAATAATTGTGTAAATATTTTTAGATCGTATATTTGACAATTCTTAAGGACATATATATATATATATAATACAGAAAAGCCGCGGAGGCACACGATTTCTCCTCTGAATTGTTAATACTAAACATTGCGTTTATAACGTAACGAACGGAGCCTCCCAAGGCGCGGTGCACCGGTCATCGCGCTGTAGCCCATCGGAAATAAATAAACATTGCACGAGTGCAAATTACGAATTACTAGATCTGCCCTGTACCTCTTTCGCACCGACGCAACGCGTGCGCGCGTAAAATTCTCCGTATAAAAAACCTAATTAACTCTTCGTAACAATATATATAATTAGCTCCCTCCTGTTTTTTTCCTTACAGAATGCGATAAGGTGCGGCAACATAGTATAAAATATCACTATATAAATCATGAAAATATTAGAAAAAGTCTCTTGCACGGTATATTGCTTGAATGCTTCTGTGATCACGTACTTTGCCGCCGGGAAATAAATAATAAAGCAACGCGGGTTTCTAATAGTATAGTAGAGTGTGAATTTTCCTAAGTTCTTGCGGTCCTACGTTAACCAAGAAGGATTGTTCGGGGCCGTTGTAAGGGATCTTTATTTCGGCGGCGAGTAGCTTGCGTTCGTGCATCGCCGCCGCCATCTCTCGATTCGGATACACGGCGAAATTCGCTTCCGCTCTTCCGCCGGGCGTACGTTTGATAGCCTCGCGACGCACCTGAGCCTGAAGAAAATACATTTTTTGAACATTCAGTGTTTTACAGTGCGTGTAATCTGCACTCTTATCTATCCATTAACTTACCGCCAGCTCGTCGGCTCGTTCCTTCAGCTGTATGATGTTCCTTCGCCGTTCCAATAAGTAATGATAAGACACTTCGGGCACTTTACGCCTCAAATCAGGAACCGTCGGATACACTACGGTCTTCGCGACGTCCTGAAATGTGAACAAGTGTATTGTATATAAAAGAATATTTCGATAATCAATAATAATTATCGTGAGGCCTCAGTCAGCAATCGATAGTCACCTTAACGAGCTCGGTGGTCCTCTTCCGCAATTCTTGAATCGTCGAGTCCGGAGATCTGAGAGTCGACGGCGTCGATAATGGCTCCAAACTATCTAATTTCCGTCGTAGAACGTCGCACAATATCTTTTTCTTTTGCTGGTGTTCGTTACTCAAGGCTTCCTTGAGAGCGTTTATTTCCTGTACGTAATATTTGTTATCCAAAGTGCTCATTATCGAAGTGCTTCCCGTCATGCTATCCGCGCCAGATGTTGATGTCGGTTTCTTGCCAACCGACTTCAGCTTTTCCTTCAATTGTCCTTTCTCCGTTTCCAGACTGTCGATATCGGTTTGTAGATGATCCATCGTCTCTTCGAATTCTTTCTCCTATTATCAAACAAATATAACATTTAAAAAATTATCGGTAAATTATAATATATATTATTGTGAAAAAAAAAGAAATACCTTGCGTTTTAACTGATTCTGCGCCTCGTCTAATTTTCTCTTTAGCTTTTCAACGTTCATCTCGTGTTCATGCTGTTGCGTCGCAAATCGCTTTTCGGCCAATTCCTTTCGCAACGTCATTTGGGACAGTTCCTCCTGCTTTTCCCGCAGAGCTAATCTCGCTTCGCGTATATCGCCATCTCTTGTTTCGAGTTTTCTAACATAAAAAAAAAGATATCAAGATTATCAAATAATCTTCAAAAAGTACACAAATATCCAGATGTACACACCTGCTAAGTATTTTCGTTTCCTCCGATTCCTTCCTCACCGCACTCGCTCTAACCACGATTGGCGTTATCGATTCGTTCTCCATAGATTGCTGCTGACTCTGCGTCTGTCCGCTTATAGCCAATTCGTTTTCGCATTCGGCCATCTTCTGCGCCAGATTCGCCGCCAGTTGTTGTATCACCGTCAAGCTGGCTTTGATAGTGGCGACAGGTCCGAGGTCTTCCGTATCGTACACCTTTTCGCTAGAAGTCGCGGCCATTTCCTTCAACTTGTCGGCCGTGAGTCCCGTATCCAAATCTGGAGACAATTGAACTCAATGTAAATATTACAGAAAGATCGATTTTTAAGAGAAATTCATCAAATACTCACCGCCATTTCCGGTGATAGCCTGCAAAGCGCTCTTCAATAGATTTTGGAGTGTCTTTATTATTTTTACAGCGTGTTGATAGCACGTCGAGAATTGCTCGTTGCAGTCTTTGTCTAATCCTAAATTGGCGGCTACGGAGAACGCTGGGCCGGCGTGATCGCGCGGTACTCGCCTTCTAGCCGACTTCAAGTGTTGCTGGATTACTTCGCACGTTGTTTCCACGTGTTGACAAAGTAGACCTAATAATAAAGGACGTATTATACCAAGATATACTTTGTTTATAAAAAAAAATCAATGCACTCCATAAAATAATTCTAGTGACATTTGGTTCTACAAAATATTAAGTTAACATTTACGTAAATTTTCTTAAATAAATACTAATTGTATTCTGATATTGTTGTCGATTCTTTAACTTCTCATCAACATTGGATATGCAAAGTTTTACTAAATGGAAAGGTTTGCTTTGAAATGCGTCGATTAGTTTTTATAAACAGCGTATTAATCTATCAAATGTTACGTACCTATGTCACCACTCTCTCCTTGTATCAGTGCTTTAATCGCCGCAGCGTCGGTAGCAATGGCATCGCACGTGCTGCCCAAAGTTCTCGTGCCGTTAACGATCAAACGCGCCTGATTGATAGTCGTATTTTCCCCGAACAGCACTGAGAACATCGTCGCGAAGTATCCGCAACACTTCTCGATAGCGTCCATCGGCAAATTCTCATCCAACTGATCTCTCTTAGCCAGTTCGATCAGTGAATCCAAAGATTTCTCTTGCGCCGCCATTTCCGGATAAGCCGCGCCCGCTTTAAGCAGCATTTCCGGGTTGCAGGAGTTCAGAGTCGACTCGAAGCAGCTTAGCGTCGTTTGTAAGGCATACATGTGTGAACACAGACGAGATCTAAACGAGTATTGCGCCACCGAGTGACCTCTCACTACAGAAGCTCTGCAACAAAAATAAATAAAATATATAAAAAGTTATTCGAAACTCGCACAATAAAAATTTAATTTAATTTAAATTGTATGATGAAATAAAATAAAATTATCGCGTTACCTGTCTATCTTCTCGATCGATCTGTACTTCTCTCGCACTTGCGAGATTAATATCTCCGTTTTCTGCGTCATTCTCGGTATCAGAAGAAGCATTAATATCGCGTCGTGGTCTCCGCCGCGAGTCAAAAATGCGGGCGGCATGAAGGATAGCAAATAGCACACGTGGTTCCGCGCCTCCTCGGCGTCCAAGCGACGCAACTCGAGATCGACCGCCTTGGTTTGCGCTCGAGTCTCGGCGAACGTTTTCTGGAAGTCTAATATCTCTGCCAGTTGCTGGTCCGCGCCTGAATCGTAAACAGTACAAGAATTTGTAAGAAAACTAACTTATTTATCTAATAATTTTACACGCTATTTTATTTTCTACCTCGAATATTAGTCTTGGTGGATTCTGTCGACTGAACTCGTTGCTGCAATTGCAAGCATTGCTCCTGCAGTTGGTGCGTGAGTTCGCGGAACTTCGTGATGGTTAATTCGCGATCCGCGAGTGTTTCCAGCGCGGCGTCTCGGTGCCGTTGCGCGTCACGTGCCGCTCCAAGAGCGAGATCCAATTCCTCGCGAAGCTCCAATTCCAATTCTTTGGACGATTCGGCCAATTGATCAGACATATCCTAGTCGCATAAGTTTTACATTTGTCATTTCCGTCATTTTAATAGATTTGTCGCAGACTACATATTTGGTAATACAAAGTTCTGCGTACCTGCAAAGCTTCCAAGTCCGCGACAGCCTCTTCTAATTCAATTACTTTTTCCTCCAAAGCCATTTTCTTCTCGCCCAGCATTTCGACCATTTCCTCGGCTCCTAATGCCGCATCAACCTAAGATAAAAATACGTAAGACATAACTGAGGGAAGAGATTACTTTCATTCGTGAAAACGATATATACTTGTTCCTGTAAATCCGCTATCTGATGTTCCATTTCTTCGACACGCGCAGATAACTTTTCTTTCGTGCGACTCAACTCCAAAATCTCAGACTTCTTCTGATCCATGTCCTTTTGCAGTTTCTGGAATTCGTGCTTCTCGTGCGCCAACAAATCGCGCATTTTCACGAGCGTTTCGCGCAATCTATTGTTCTGCTGTTCCAATTGCTTCACCTCATAGTTCGATGTCCCTGTAGTCATTCCACCGCCGGCTGCCTATTTGCGAAGAAATAATATCATTCAAAACCACGCCAAAAAAGGATAATATTGACATATTAATATTACGTAATAATTGAATTATTTTTAATAAAATGAAAACAAGATGTTATACCCGTTCGGACATTTCTGTGCGTAATATCTCTAAATCCAACGTTTGTTCCTCCAATTTTTCCTTGAGTTGTTCTAATTCAATTTGAAGGGTTTCCGCTTTCTCTTCTGCCATTTCCTTATCTAACGTGGCCATTTCTGCTGTCTCCGCGATACCGGACATTTCTTCCTGGAATTTTTCCTTTGCCACATAAGCTTCTCTGGCTTCTTGTCGAGCTCGTTGAAGATCTCTCTGGAGGCTCGCCTTGTAGAAGAAGTAATAGAAATAATTAGGGTATTCATTTTCGAAATTAAATATATTTTCGATGCTCACACAAACCAATTTTTTAAAAATAAATTTTATGTCGCATTTACTCACTTGACTTTCCATGACTTTAGCCTTGAACTCGAGAAGCTGTTCGATTTGGAGTTTTGTCTTTTCGAAATCCTTCATCTTCTCTTTGTCCTGCATTCGCTTCACACGTAAAGTTTCTACTTTGTCAGTAAGATCGCGTACCTGTGAAATATTAAATACGATATACGTACATGTGTGGACGTAATTTTGAAAAGTAAATGACTGCAGTGCAATAAGACAGAAAATTTCCTGTGAATATGCACCGTGTAAGAAGAATTTCAGTTCACCTGAGATTTCAAGTTATCATTCTCTTGTATAAGCTGCAAGTGTGACAATTTTTCTTCCACCAGGTTCGCGGCCGCTGCCGAACCTGCCATCACCTGGCCGGGCACGAACTGCGGTTTCAACGTTTCTACAAAACCTGTCTGAATTACAGAAAGGAGAAAATAAGAAATTTATCTGCGCTTCGTAGTTGGGTGTTCTTTTTATTATCGCATGAAAGAATTGTGTAATCGCCAAAGAGTCTCTTCAAAGTCCTCTGAACCTGCGTACCTGTGTCAACTTGAAACACATATACACACGGTATATAAACTGAATGATATATGAATGGCGCACAAACAAAGGTAACATAATTACTCTCAAAATGCGGCAATGAAAAAAACACCCCACATTTCCTATAACGAGAATAATATAATGGTGTTTATGCGATAATGCCATTGTTTCTGTATTTACATTTGAGTGGAATTAGTTTGTCTTACGGTGATTAATGAGAGATTAGTAGTGACAGCGCAAAACACCAACAAGCTACACCGAATAACTCTATTAGTACTAACGAATATATAAGGAGACCCAGTTGATGAGCTGAATCGTGTTATGTGGTAACATTTACGAAAAGGGTATACTAAAGTCAGAGCATCAAACTATTTCATCTATCACGTCCTAACGACAGTCGCACATGTGCCACTTGCATTCCCGCGTTCCAGAACGACTAACTTTTAACAGATACAACTGCGGGACATGAATCGGTCAGGCAAAGTTACGTCTTTGTACCATGATGCTGTTATTAAAATTCGCCCACGCTTAGTGTTAGTATTATTATCCTTGCGACACAATACAACAGGAATCAGTCCTAACTGTGGAAGGACAGTGTCGGATACCCTTTTTTTCCCCTCCCCCCATTGTGAATCGCAAGCTATCCGATTCCGCTGTAAATCGAAGCATCATAGAACTTAGTTAGTGAAGCTGATGTTAAACTGAATGGTGGAGATATGGCGCAGAATAAAATGAAACCAAATCCGTAATCCGCTAAGGACGGACGGGCGCGTGCCCGTTAAAGGTGTGCAATGACGCTATTTGTTACGAAAGTTATGTGTTACGATGCTTCATGATCGACAAACAGCTAGGATGAGAAAGAACAAGATATTAGAGGTGATTAAAAAAAATTGAGAGATATTACAATTAATGAGAATTAATTACATTATTGTGATCATCTTGGGCCTTTGGCTTTTTGCCGGGAGGCGAGCTCGTGCTAGGGGACTTCTGAAACACGTATACGTGCATTCCATATGAATCATTCTGTGGCAACGGAGTCCTCTAACTTGTTTTCAAAATTTACAAATTTTTTTTTTTCTCTTAATTCGCATCGTTAATTCTATCTCACGTCTTTCCAAGCCCACTTTCCAGTCATAACAAAACGCATACGTGCACAATCGTAGTTGTCTTATCACCGAGTCACAGAATAAGATTCTTTGCACATGAAGGTAAGAAACATAGAAATAATCGAAAGACCTAGATATTTCAAAATATTCGAACCTGCTTGTTAGTTAAAAATAGTAAAGATACAAAAATATAATAAGCAACTTGTCCGTAGGAAGTATACCACTCATCATATGTATATATCATGCTTGAAATCTTTTGGATAACATTCTTTGCGGATAGACTTTGCTCTATATTTAATATAATTTTTATACTATATTATATAGTCTATTATCATAGCTCGCAGTATATGTCTTACCTCAATAAATGATGCGCGCTTTGAAGCAGTGGTTGGCGCTGGAATTAATGACTCGCCGCCATCCCTACGTTCATGCTGCGATCCAGTTAAACTTTCTGTGCTTGGAGCACTTAATAATGTTCTACTTCCACTCAAGGATAATCGAGAACTGTAAAATGACAGAAGATATTTAACAATATATTTGCTGCGCTAGGTTGATTGCAACATCGTGATCGTGATAGAAATTCGAGTTTGCATTATTTATATCAGAATGAGAAAATAAAGATTCACAAAATGATATAAAATCATAATAAAAATGTTAAAAATATTAATATAATTGTATGTCTGAAAGAAACTTTATAGAACATTACTAAAAATATAGGTTTGAAGCAAGAATTCTTGTAAAAATGCGCTATAAATGATAAAATATGTTTAATATTTATTTCGACATTTGATATCCAATTATCGATACTACTCAATGTAATAATAAGATAACAAAAATAATTGCAAATTTTTTACTAATCAAAAATATAAAAAAAATACACATATAAAAGCTTTATGAAAAGCATAGTGGCAATGATTTATGCTTTAAGGCGGCAGAGTACTTTAGATATTCAATAATGCAGTTGGCATTTTGATATAGCGACATAGTACGATTGCTTTCAAGATATCTATATAAGCAGTGGCGATAAAAAAAATACACATTGCTGATACACCAATTTGCCAAAATTTAGTTTACGATTTACAGTAATCTTACCCAGAAAGTTTGTCAGATTGCTGGCGAGTAACATTCGCAGGAGATGTTTTTCTCCGTACACTTTTATGTAAGCAGCATATACATTTTAAGAATTTATTAATTATATACTCGCCTGTCTATTTTTGTATTGGAATTAGCAAGAGAAATAGCACAATAATTGCTTGTTTTAACCCTCAACATTATTATATGACGTAAAACTTACGCTGTAGGTTCGTTCCTTCGACGCATACTAATGCTAGCATGAAAATTGTGGAATAAGGATTCTTAAATTTCATGGAACTAATTCAACAGACATTATTATTCTTTATGTAAATAGATTGGGCACTGCTTAATTACCGATTAGTTCTACAGTTTTCAATTTTGCAATATACAGAACATTTTACTTCAAATGTGCTATATTACTGTAGCACTTTCTTGTAGCATTTTAATTATAAGGTGTATATAGTTTGCTATTTGCAGTATAATTCATATTTACAGTTTATTACATTTGTAGAAACAACAATCTGGGAGGCTCTGATTTTATATTTGTGAGAATTTACCTATTTAGACGACTCCTGGCTCTAGCAGCGCTGTCATCAGGTGTAGTGGCACTGCTACCTGCCGAAGAAGGACTAACAGGTTCTGTCCTATTGCCAGCTTCATCCAGAAGTATAAGCTGTGTCTGACGCGCAAACATGCCATGATTTTCCGCACACTGTGGCAATAGAAACAAAAAATACAGTTTCTTCTTCTAAAATAAATTGCTTTATACAATAAGAATATATATATATATAAAGCTACCTTGTCTTGAATTTAAAAAATGGTTTTTATTATAAAGCATGTAAAGAAAAAATATTATAAAAAATCTAGAAAGCGATATTGTCGCAAATCATGTAAAAAGAGACAACATTTTACACAATTGTACATTTTTGAATATATAATTTATCCACAATAATAAAATATAATACAACTTATCACAGTGTGTCAAAGACTTTCAGCGACCTATACAAATTTATGTGTCATGTAACCTTAATGTGCACTTCTTGACTTATCTAATAGAACCGAGGCAACTTTTTGAGGATGATTAAACATTAGTGTTTACTATTGTAAACCATATAATATTATTCGAAATTCGAAAAAATTAGTATATTTACTCGTTACTCACCTTGAAGTACACCTGGCCTTTGACAGTGCCGTTGTTTTTCCCCTTCGGTTCATCGAGTATCACGCCGATCCATTTGCCCGACGCGAAGGCCGGGTGGCCCACGTAGGCTATTACGCCTTGGCAGTCCTTTACAGGAACCTCGACGCGTTGACCAGCTTTGAATGACATCTTCGTCGCGCTGAATCTGTCAACCGCGACTCGTCGCAGACGAACGCATCAGCTGTATATTACTAACCTTCGTGCGGTTCTTCGTAAACGCCACTTTACACTTGCTTCGCGAACTAATATTCGAAAATAATATCGTGTCGATTGTTCGATGAATTGCAACCCTTTTAGAAAGATAGATTGTCCGTGTTATCTGTGTTACGATATTATATGTCTACTGACAGTTGTTATCACACTTTTGCAGGTGGCACATATAGAGATTAGCTCTTTTAGTTTTCACTTAATAGAGAGAAAAGTTAATTAACATCAGCTATGTTTAGAAAATGCACTGCTTGTGCAACAACTGGACGGTTCTGCAACTATCGAGCGAAAAACTTTCTTCAATAGAGCAAGAATATAACCTCTTCTCGCAGTATAACATAAATGACAGTTTTTATCGTTTTTGTCGTTTTTAATTAATAATAATGAATAATGACTTATATGAATATGAATATCTTACAATGTTATGAAATATTCAACAGAATTGTAAAAAAATATATATAAATTATTAATACAGAATATGCATATATGAGAAAAATAATATTGTAAAATAATAATTGATAAATAATAACCTTTGCAGAATTATATATTCTGAATACTGCAAGAATACGGTCAATTTACAAGAGCACTACGCCTTGGATTTTCGGATCGAATAAATTCTTGCGAGCGATACCTGCTGTATTCCTAATGTCACGCTGGCCAATCGACAAAGTGCACTATACTCTTCAAATCGAATAATCTCTTATCAAAATCTACATTCTTTATACTACATCAGTTGAATTCAACATTCAATTCTTAAAATTTATATTAACACTTTTACATTTATTAAATTTTTTTACATAAAAGTCTGTAATTTTTTTTCCTTTTTGCTCTAAACTTATTCAAAGTGTAAGAATAAATTCGTATAAATTTATATAATTGCAAGTGAATATAAGACAATTTATTAATTTGTTAACATAAATATACATTAGATATGCGATTGACCAATTTTCTTATGCATATGCATTATGCAAGTTTGAACGTGCCTTAAGAAAGTGCAATTTGAACTCACTAGAAATGCACTCTTATTAGAAACTGTTCCGTGATCATAGGGAATCTTCAGATACGGTTTATGTGTACTATTTTAGATTACTTTACGTGACGTGTGTGATGTAGGATTTGTTTTCAACCGCGTTCGGAGATGTTTATTACTACTTTGCGTTTCGGATGGTTAAGTGAATAAATTTTTGTACTGTTGGACAATGGCTAATCATTACGAGGTTCCAAATTGGTAAGTTCATATAATGGATTCTCAGCGGTTTAGTAAAGAATTTACATTGTTTACGCAATTACGTATTACGATTTTTATTGCTCTGCAAAAAAAAGTAGCGACGTCCAACACTTTACTACATATATGTTGTAACATTTGCCAGGGCAGGGAAGCCACCAGTGGGATTGCATTTGGATGTACTGAAAAATGACAAATTAATACAGGTAAATCGTTAACTGTCACTTTTTTGGAATTCTATCATCTTTTAAACTATATCACTCTTTACAAATATTCTCTGTAGAAACTCATGGTGGATGAGAAAAAATGTTACTTATTTGGCCGCAATCAACAGCTGAATGACTTCTGCATTGATCACGCATCCTGCTCTCGGGTTCACGCTGCTCTTGTTTACCACAAGCATCTCAATCGTGCATTCTTAGTTGATTTAGGAAGTAGTGAGTACAAAATTTATGTCAATATCAGTTTACTTTTATTTTTTAAATGAATACTTTATTATGAATGAATATTATGAATAGTTTACTAATATTTTTTAAATGAATACTTTATAACAATAAAGCATTGAATCTTTTTTTTAAATAGATAGTAAAATCTATATGTTCAAAGAAAAAATATTATTATATCTTATGAAAAACTTGGTGTAACTGCAGAAATATCTATTGTATTTCATGAAAACTATCCGACAACTTTTCAGCACATGGGACTTTTATTGGAAATTTACGTTTAGAAGCTAACAAACCTACTCAGTTACCAATTGACAGTACGTTTCATTTTGGAGCGTCTACTCGTTATTATATAATAAGAGAAAGACCTCAGACTGGTGCTAGGCCTATAATTGAAGAACTGGAAAAGTTATCTGAGGATATGGATGCTGGTGGATTGTTAGGTCTACCTGAAACAGAAACAGAACTGGACGTAGGTCTCAAAAGTTCAATAATATGTATTAAAACTTTGAAACATCTTCGTTTTATCTAATGTAATTTAATTAATTATAAATTTTAGAATCTAACGGAATTTAATACAGCTCACAATCGACGGATCTCCATGCTTGGCATAACAGACGACGAGATGCACAAGCCAACGCGTAAACGAAAGAAAAAAGGGATTACTTTCAATGACGATGAAGAAGTAATCAATCCTGAGGATGTTGATCCTTCAGTCGGGAGGTTTCGTAATCTTGTACAAACGACAGTTGTTCCTAGCAAGGTACACATTGTGCTCCTATGGATTACTGCAGAAAAAGCAGTGTCAAAAAAGTAATCGTGTAATTAAGAAGTTTAATTTAACAAGACGTATTCTTATTACAGAGAATGCGTATGGAAGGTGGTCTTATATCACTGACAGAGGATCATAATCTATTGAAGCATATGCAGCCTACGTCTACCACTCCTCAGCTCTATCACGATCTACCTCCTGAGCAATTCACACCGTCCGCCTTGTCGGCAATGAATCCATTCTCCACAGCCCTCACATCGCTGACATCGCGGCTCGGCATCGCGTTGCCCAATCCAGCGCCCGAAGTGGAAATGACGCCGAATCAGATACCGCAGGAAGTACAGCAAGTACAAGAGCACATGGCAGGTACGAATGAGTCAAGAGCGATGGAACCGAAGAAGAAGAAATATGCCAAAGAGGCATGGCCCGGGAAAAAACCGATACCGACGCTCCTAGTGTAATAAAAAAAATTACCATTCGCATATTGTAATCCAATATTGTCTTTCCGAGAAGGTCATTTCACAAAACAGTGTACATCTTTAGGACAATTTAATGAGTGCTAATATTTAAGTCCGCTCCATGTTTATCATGGTATATTTTTTGTGAAAATACTACATTTACTTTTACTTTAAATACGATGGCAATTATGGATATAGATACACCTAGTATTTGTTTTATCAAATAGATTCCGTTATTGTAATATGATTACATTATTTGTATTATAATCTATTTTTCTCATGGACTTTAATTTAGTATATAAATTAATGATTATTAATATCATCGTTTTGTGATATAATGCGTTTTTTGAAACCTCAGCGTATTTTTTTGTAAGTATACAATCGCTCTCATTGCAATTTCAGGTGGTGAAAATAATGTAAATAAATATAAAGAAAATTTCGTTGACGTACTTTTATAAATGTCACCAAAAAAAGTTGATAAAATGACGAATATTGTATATGTTACATAAATATTATTTTGATTCAGTAAAGTTTTCGATACAAAACTGTAGTTCACATTCTTACATAATAATGTACTTTTCCCCATGCGCTGAATGAAATCTCTATAGTAGAATAGTGCAGCAACTTATATATTTTTCTACTTGTTACACAACTTTCACAAAAAATGTTCACAAAAAGTACGGTAACAATTATACGAATATAAACATTGAATATCTTTATACACAAAATTTAACATAAGTGATGTTATTTTTTTTTATAGTTTCCACTTCATCGTCGGACAGCGATAATATCGGCTCATTAAAAGATTTTCCAAAAACGCGTGTTTACATATATTAATATTCCGGTGTGTCCGGCGTGGATGGCGACTCGAGGGCGACTTCCTCATAATCTCTTTCGAGTGCCGCGAGATCTTCGCGCGCCTCCGCGAATTCGAGTTCTTCCATGCCTTCTCCTACGTACCAATGAACGAATGCTCGCTTATTGTACATCAAGTCGAACTTGTGATTGAGCTTGGCCCATGCTTCCTCTATGGCGGTCGTGTTAGATAGCATGGAGACAGCACGTTGAACCTGTAAATGTACATAATATATAAGAAATATATTATGTAATCTATTACTATGCTAGATTGTAAATTAAAAAATTCTAACCGTAATTTTACTTTAAACTACAGTTGGAATTTTTAATTTGATTAATTGAAATTCTATGTTTATACATTTAAATTTAATCATAAAATAGCAATTTTTAATTTAAAAAATATTTTTTAATGACGATATCACCTTTGCGAGATCACCGCCTGGCACGGCCGTGGGCGGTTGATAATTAATCCCGACTTTGAAGCCTGTGGGACACCAGTCGACAAAGCGAATGCAACTTTTGTCCTTCATGGCCGCGATTGCGGCATTAACATCCTTGGGTACAACGTCGCCGCGGTACAGAAGGCAGCAGGCTATGTATTTGCCTTCACGCGGGTCACACTTGACCATCTGATTGGAGGCTTCGAAGCACTCGGAGGTGATTTCCGCGACCGACAAGCCCTCGTGATAAGCCTTCTCGGCGGACACCACCGGGGCGTAAGTCGCCAAAGGAAAATGTATACGGGGATAAGGCACCAGGTTCGTTTGGAACTCGGTCAGGTCGACGTTCAGAGCACCGTCGAATCGCAGGGATGCGGTGATCGACGATACCACTTGGCTGATCAATCGGTTCAGATTCGCGTACAAGGGTCGCTCGATGCCAAGCTTTCGCCGACAAATGTCGTAGATCGCTTCGTTGTCCACCATGAAAGCGCAATCGGAGTGACCGATCGTCGTGTGCGTCGTTAATACTGCATTATAAGGCTCCACCACGGCAGTAGATACCTAAAAGTATAATGTGTTTTTCTCAGAATCACTAATTTTTTTTTTAAATGTATCGTCTCTTTATTTTGCGAAGTTATTTATTTTCGACTTTTGTAAAATTATAAATAACTTTTAAATTTGGAAAGCTTCTTTTACATTCCACTTTGTTTTTATCTATTAATTTTAATTAAAAAAGAGTATTCAAAAAGTGAAATAGATGAAATAATTTTTCTTCAATTAATTTTAACTTGTTTCACAAGATAAATAAGAAATAAATTAAATTTTCCTAAACTCACTTGTGGCGCTGGATATATAACGAATTCCAATTTACTCTTCTTGCCATAATTATCAGACAGCCTTTCCATAAGCAGAGAAGTGAAACCTGATCCTGTGCCACCTCCGAACGAATGGAAGACGAAGAAGCCTTGCAGACCAGTGCATTGATCTGTCAATCTGCGAATTCTGTCCATCACCGACTCGATGACTTCGCTCCCGATGGAATAGTGACCGCGAGCGTAATTATTCGCGGCGTCTTCTTTACCGGTAATTAATTGTTCTGGATGATACAGTTGTTTATAGGTTCCGGCTCGAACTTCATCTATAAAAGTAACAATTTGCAAGATGTAAAGATAGACATATATTACATGCTATCATCATTGTATCATTTTATTTTTATAAGAATAACTGATTTATGATTTGCAATGTTTACAATATTATTGTGACTAACCGACGACTGTTGGCTCGAGATCAACCATCACGGCACGCGGAACCATCTTCCCGGAGTTCGTTTGATTGAAGAAGGTATTGAAGCAATCGTTGCTGCCGGAAATTTTGTCGGACGGCATAGTTCCGTCCGGCTGGATTCCATGTTCCAGGCAGTACAACTCCCAGCAAGAGTTGCCCATCTGAACGCCCGCTTGGCCAACGTGCACCGATATACACTCGCGCTGTAAATAGAATTACACAATGCATTTTTTTATCGACTTAAAAAATTTAACGATACACTGCATAACATTTCCGCCTTTCACACTCTCTACGATTACTTAGAAAACGTAACTATCTTTTCGTACCATTTTGCTGTTTCCAAATAAATTTCTCTCGATATTACACAATAAAAATTTTGATAAATTGTTGAATCGAAATATTAATTAAATTTTAAATTTGGACACGTTAAATTTGGAAGCCGGCCATGAGCTGCCCTAGAAAAAAAAAACACTGTAGTAATTTATACTTTTATTGCCTGGGTAACCACTATAATTGAGTTTCAGGAGGATTAGAATTTTTTTTAATGTGAATTGTGTCAAACGGACTTTATTCAAGCTTCACTTTTTCATACTAACAAAGCTTTTTCAATATAAAATTTAAATTTTAATACTTCAAAGTACACTATAGATTTTCGACACTAGATTAGATGTAATTGAGAAAATTTAATTCAAAACTATGCAATAAAAATCCAAGTATCTAATCCAAAAAATTGCAAATATGTTTTGAAATATTCGGTAATGTGATTTACAGTATTTTAATTAATATTCTGTTTTTGATCGTTTTCGATTAGAAATTAGAATTGAGTTAAATTTAATAGACACTTTTAATCAATTTTGCCACCTTTTCGTCGAAATCTTTTCTTTGCATTTTGCAAAATATATTCTTTATGGACTTAGCTGTTTGGATGAATAAAGAAAACGCGCTATACATTCTGCATGTTACATATATCTCGATTGCCATGCGTCAGACGTATCCGTGGCAACTAAGAAGCAAGAAGCATGGTGCAACACTTGTCATCCGCAATCAGTGACAATAATTTGTGTTATTTAAAATAGACAAAATGTCAAGCGTGATAAAACCATCTTTTCGAAACAACAATTGTACTATCAACATAATTCTGTCTGCATAATCGTGTACATATTATTATGCAGTTTTCTAGAAACCACTTTTCTACAATGTAGCTTTTACACAATCAATTAATATTTAATGATTTTTCACTGCCCAACGTGAAAGTGATGTGTAACATAACATATCCATCAATCAAGATCTCATGATCAGTGATAAAAACAAAATTATATGCTTTAAACAAAATGTACAATTTACTCCAATAAAGATTAAAAACGCTTAAATCTCGCGAGCTACAAAAATGACAAGAGAAAATCATTATAATTGCTGACCGACGAAAGAATAGAATTAAAGATCTCACGATCGCGACAACACATGGATACCAATTACAGAGCAAACATCGCAAAGTGGCTGCCACTTTCCGATGGTGCTCTCGACAAATGGCTTGTAGACGCTTCCGTTCTCGATGAGAAAGTGGGAAAGCTCGCAGGATGCGTGGCTTTAATCATCGAGGACTTCGCAGAGAGTCGAGTTTGTGATTTTGAGGTCCAAAATTTTTTTCTCGTACTTAAGAGCGTTAATAAATATATAAAATAAAATGTACTAAAATTACGCGTGAATAACTGATTACTCTTACGTTTTAGGTGTTTGAGGAAGTCGTCGATAATTTGGAAGAATTGATAGAGAATTACAAATTAACATGCAGCCCGAAAGAGTTAAGCAGTCATCCGATATATAAATATAAAATAAATTATCTGTTGATGATATTAAAGCGCAAGCTCAACATTGTCGCAAAATTCACTCGAGATTTAATCACTGCTATTGTCGATTGCAAAAATGAAGAAAATATCAGAATAGTGTTTAGGTAGCGTAAATCAAAATAATTTTTTTTATTGTACCAATTATATTATTTTAGTTCTATTTGATGATCTAATTTTTCTTGTATTATCTTAGTTAAATGCTGCATTTTAATATCGAAATTAATTTTTTTAATTATCTTTGTTAATCATTTTTCCATCAATCTGCTATTTCGTGAATGTGTAATACTTAGGTTTTTCCCTTATCAGATGATAACACAATGAATAAATTGCAGATTGGTAAATGCTTACAACAGTATGCTCGATGTGGATCGAGATGTGTCGGATCCTTCCGTCAATGCCTTTTACAATGACACTCCTTCGATGTTGGAGCCGTTGAAAAAGATCTCTGTAACTAAAATATTGCAGGCAAGTGTTTTAGTGTTCATTAGTTAATTAAGTTGAACAGCGAGTAATAAAAATGAAAAAAGTTGCAAAATTAACATCAATAATTTTAGATATTAGCAAAGAACAGAGCGGAGGAATCCTGTCACGAGCTTATCGACTGCCTTCTGGCGAATTACGAGCCCCGTGAGAAAATCGATTCTACTGCAACGAACGACATGGATGTTTCGGAAAATTCTAGCATTGAGATCTATCGGTTAGTTTACAGTCATAATTGCGTCTAATAGAATGCGCTAATATTTATAGCAACATTATCGATCAAACAAACGTAATCTAACAATATCTCAAACATATTTTTGTCAATTATCTTTTAAACTGCAGCGCTCTTACGAGACATTTAACGCCACCGATCGCGAGTGCGGCATCGACTTCTGAAGTGCAAGTATCTAATAACATCGAAAGTGTCCAGGCACTCGTGAATACGCAAAACGAGCAAGTCCTTAGACTTCTAACTGTCGTGCAGGAGATCTCGCCGCAATTGCTCGGCACGGATGCTTTGAAGACCAGCAAAGGTACTTTCCCTACGAAATTTGCTAATTATTTTACATAGTTCTGCGTCTTATTTATAATAAAACATAATTTGATAGTAAGATAAAACGTGGCACACGAAACAATTGGGTATCGATTGCGTATTTCAACGATGATATTCATTAGGCGAAACGAGATTGAGAGGCATCGCGATAAAGAAAGTAAAAAGCTATTATCAAGAAGTCGCATGGGGTGCTTTATCCGGTATACTAGATCATGTGATACTATGGTGGTCCCACGAGGCCCTTGCGACCCATCACAACCACGGTGCTCAACATCTCAAGGATTGGCTGCGACAGTTTATTCAGGGAAACGAAAGTAAACTTACTTTTTGTTTAAATATATTTCCGCTTTTAACAAATCTATTCCTTTAAGAAGAAAAAAAATTGATCCATATCATCTACATCCTTAAAATTTCAGTCCCACCTACAGTCAGACCAGCATTGCAAAATTTATGCGACGCGCTCGGGTATCACACGACCATCACCGCTTGGGACCAGCTGTTTAGACTAGCCTACACCTCGGCTTTCGAATGCCGCTCAAAACCGTCGTCCACGGAGGTTCGTATCCCACAATAGAAAGAAAAGAGAACGGTAAAAGTTCCTCCTAAATTGAATTTCAGAAATGCATATTCGATAGAATGTATTAACGCTTGGACAAAAATTTACAATGCAAATATCTAAGGAAGAAAGTGACAATAATTTTCTTATATTAAGAGGTTTTTTTATAAAAAATAAATAATTACCAATCTTGTAGGGAACCGACACGGGTCAAATGTTCGTCGAGCTGTTCCAATTACTGGTTACCCTCAGCAACGAATGCGAGGTGGGCGGCGAGTGGGTGATTGGAGCACCCTTGATAGAATTACCATTGTCGGAGCAAATTGTCGTATTGCACAGAATGGACCATTCGGTTCATACGGCGAGATTGTGGGCTATTCAGGAAGCCAAGATCATAGCTCATACTTGGGATCTGGACGTCTTCTTTCTTCTCGTGAAAGGCGACATAATGAATTACCTCGAGGAACTGTCTTATCTCAAGGTATTTTTTTATCCATCATTTGATTCTGTAATGGAAATTAAAAGTGCATTTTATATATCTTATCTTATGATTGATTATGATTTTAGCTCGCTGATCACACGACAGCATTGTCCACGGGTTCCATTAGCGTCCAAGTGTACGTATGCACGAAAATGAGAGCAAAAATCGCTTCTGAAGTCAAGGCAAACGTTGAATTGCTTCAGGTACAATATTGAATATAAACTTGCGAAAGAATAGAAAAAATAAATTTTTAATAGAAAATTTATAAGTCATATAATTAGTGACATGCATAAATTTGTTTATGACGCATATTCTTTAATTAGCTTTTCTTCATGTAAGAGACATCGCGTTTATTAGTATTATGATGGCAATGCCAAAAGTAAATTTGTTAATAGTTGAATAGTAATTTTTTGTAAGATAAACTTTCTTCTTCAAATTTGTCGCTTAAAAAATTGTAAATAATTTTATCTCTTTTCGATTCTACAGATTTCTCCTGCTAAGTGCACTGACATACTTGCCAAGATCTGTCGTGTGGTCAGCCTTGCGAATTTGCACATGTGTTTTCCACGATCGAATTACTGGAGAAGAAACAGCAGCGTATCTCCGATGACGGCTAGTCTTTATGTAGAGACTTATTTTGGTACGCTTTTTTCATAATTATATTTAAAATTATGTTATTTACATAACAAAATCAGTTAAAGTAGAACATTATTGAAATTATTATTTAAAATTTTACGCGAAACGCGTAATTTTCGTTGCTCTTTGCGTACGTTTCTTTTTTTACACGTGAAAAACTATGCATTATTGCAGAAAAAGTGTTGCTGCCAGTGTTGGAAGTAATAGAGGATCCCGAAACGTCAAACATGATTCTGCGAATAATGTGCGAGGCATGGCTAGATTATATTTATCTACACCGCATTAAGTTCAGGTAAATTGCATTTGTATGATATTCCAATTAAAACTACCTATCAAATATAAAAACATTGCAATTTTCTTTCTCGTATGTTTAATCTCTGTAGTTTTTGTTTTGATCGTATAATTAAATAAATTCCCAGCGAGTACGGTGCGCAGCAGTTGTTGACGGATTTTGCATACGTATCGGCATGGGTCACGGAGTGCGCGATTATCTCGCAAAACGTGAGGAATCACTTGTTGAAGAACGAGGTTTTGCGCCGTTGCGAGGGAGTTGGTCGGCTTCTGTTGAGACATCCGGGTGAAGCAATTGCGATGCAGAAACAATTGAGTAAAAATTCTTCGAACAATGACAAATCTAAATTCGTACGAATTGAAGCTTTCCGAATAGAAAATTGAGTTTTTTGTGTGCCTTTTCAGCTCGGAAAACGAATGATCGCGGATCGCCCGAATCTCCAGGCTTGGAACGCATGCCGGCTGAAATGTACGTTCCGAATCAAGAACAGTGGCTCGAACTGCGCGCTCCCAAGCGATACAACTTCTGTTGTACGGAATAAAAGAAATAAATAATCGATTGTGTCTCGAATTTTCTGACTATTGTAATGTTTTCTTTATATAATTTTAACGTTAGTTGAATGCAGCAACTCACTGCATTAAAAATATATTTTCCACTGGCATCTTAAAACACTAAGAAAATTACGCGAAAGTGCGCAAAATGATTATTTGCTGTTAATATACATTTATATTTTCGAGAAGCCCGGCAAAGGACGGAAACCTTTCGGATCCGACGACGTATTACGTTACACCGGTACGATATGTGGCGACAAAATCAACGCAACAACCGTGCATCCACCGTAGTCGCAGTCCGATGTCGGCGTTCATTGTCGACATCACGGCATTGTTGCATATAAAATTAACATCAGTCCTGATGGAAGGCTTAAACAATATAAAATCTCACACATTGACGTAATGTGATAAGAGATATTCGTACATTACATTCATATATTAAATTAACGTTATTCTGCTTTTGAAACTTATACGATAGTGAAGTGCTGTTAAACTAAAATATAATAATTGCGTGAATAATCGTTAATCGCGATTTACATTGTGTTTCGTCGTTCTATTTTTGTGCGTGTAAGAACATATACTTTTTATAGATTACCTGTGATCGCTTGCGCAAGTCGAGGTGCAGCTTGTTGTTTGAGTTGTCACCGCAAAATAAGAATGTGGCAAGGCAACTCATGTTTCATTCTCGTCTGTCGATTCTCGATTCACCACTTTATATAACCAGTCCAGTTGCTTGTGCGAATGTGTGAATAATCCAAGGGCCAAAGTCATTATTAGATCCTTCTCTTTACATGCGGTCGGAAGAGTCACATTGCTGTAAATCGACGACAAAAAAATAAAAATCTATAAATATCTTATTTAAGTGCACACTTAAAATCTTGTAAATTATAGTGGCATGTTGAAATCTTAATAATAATCTTTCATTTAAAAATTATTTTTAAATTCACTTTTTTTCATTAACATTTTCTCAATAAAAACTTCTCGCCAGCAAAAAGTGATGTTTAATAGTGCAGTGTTGTATTTATATTAAAATAGCAATTAATTTATTACAAATATGTAATAATATATCCCTCGTGCTAGTCATACAAGCTGAGAGAAGATCAAATTACTAGGTGAGAACAATTCTGTCGAAGCCGCGCCTGTCGATTGCAAGAAGAATTAATTATTTGCATCGTCGTCTGCATTTTCGCACGTCAAAAATGCGTAACGTCACGGAAAGAACGCCTTTGAGGAGGAACATGGAGTCGCCCGATTACGTTGAGTTCGCCGGTTTATTGCGAACTCGAAGAGTGCGAGTGCGACAGTTCCAGTGCTGTGTTTGCGGCATTCTGATGTAAGTCGACAAATTGAAACATTGTAAACTAAAAGTTGTTGAGCGCTTATCTTTTCTAATTCAATCTGTGATCTTGCAGAGTGGTCTTCACTATGGCTCTGATAATATCCATCGGTTATTCCATAAATCACACTAACTCCACCGATCCCGCGATCGATAACACATCTTCCGGAAACTTGAGCGGTATTTTGCAATTAGAATTTGTACCAGAATCTATGTTGCACGCGTCCTTCAGCAGCACCGCTAGTGTTACGGCCGAACCCAACTCCGTCTTGATATCCGGTGAGAATATCGAGTCCTCGATGAGGAATCTCAGTCAACAGGAATACACGCAAGGATTACGAGCTGGCGAGCAGGCGATAAAGGACCGTCTGTCCGCGGATATGCTCGCCGCGAAATCACCGTTACCGTCTCCATCCCCGGAATCTAGACACCGCTACGCGGTGAGCACGCGTCCTAAAGTTAGCGCCCTTGCCTTGGCAGCTGTAGGCGAAATCGCTGCAACGAGAAAGATTGAAAATATGAGGTAAACAGAGTATGTTGTATTAAAAAAAAACGGTTTAGTGAGTTTTCAAGTTTTGACGAAAAATATAGAAACATTATACATCATATATGTATGTATGTCTAGCAATTTTAATAATTATAAATTAAACCTTCGATCTTTCGACATTGATAGTTATTGATAGTTAATTGGTAATTTTGTTATCTTGATTTTTTTCCATAATTAATCTTGAGAGAATAATGGATATATTTTGCTTATAAAGTAGCTATAAGTAACAAAATATATTTAGCCGGCAATTTTTAATAGAAAGCTTCATGTTTTTATTTTTAAGATCCAGTCGCGACGAGCCATCGGCAATCGATACCTATTTCGACAGCGGCTGGGTACCGAGGAGCGTGTGCAAACGGTATTTCGATCGCACTTGCAAGATCGGCAAATACAGAACTATAGATGGGAGCTGCAATCGACCGCGAGGTTGGGGCTCCAGCGTGACACCTTACAGAAGAGTCTTACCTGCTGATTACGCCGACGGAATCGAATCGCCTCGCAAAGCACAGTCCGGAAGGGAACTGCCTTCCGCCAGGGAAGTCAGTCTGATAGTGCACAAACCTTCAGCCAGCAGTAATCCATCCTTTACAGTAATGCTGGCTGTATTCGGCCAATTCCTCGACCACGATATCACCGCTACTGCGCTCAGTCAGGGTGTTAATGGAAGTTCCATAGCGTGCTGCCCTCCATCGAAGGAACATCCCGAGTGCTTTCCCGTACGAGTGGGAATCGGTGATCCCGTGTACGATCAGACTGGCAGAACCTGCATGGACTTCGTCAGATCGGCACCTGCTCCGCGATGTAAACTCGGTCCCAGAGAGCAGCTCAATCAAGTAATCCATTCCTAAAATATAATTTATTTACGTGAGAAAAATAGTAAAAATTACATATATTTTTAGAAAAAAATATATTGCAGTATATTTTCATTATACACTTTCACAATTTTTTACTTCTAATTTTAAAATAAATTGATTTTAAATTGAAGTTTTTTCACATATAAAATTTATGAAACTCTCTAATTTCTGTTATATTCTACGATATAAATTTACGATTGGGAAAAATTCAAGAGGAGAAATGTTATAAATAATGTTGCGTCTAGGTCAGCGCCTTCATCGACGGCTCAGCTATTTACGGTTGCGACAATGAGACCGCCCGCGATTTGCGCGAGTTCACCAGCGGTCATCTAAGGATGCAGCTCACCTCCGACAACAGGACTCTGTTACCACCGAGCACGAATCTCAACGACGGTTGCAATCGCGAAGCCGAGCAACGTCGCGGTCGCTATTGCTTCGCCGCGGGCGACACCAGAGCGAACGAGAATCTGCATCTGACGACGATGCATCTTCTCTGGGCGCGGCAGCACAACAAGATCGCGAGCGAATTGGCCAAGATCAATCCTACTTGGCACGACGAAACGCTCTATCAGGAAGCGCGACGCATCGTCGGCGCCCAACTGCAGCACATCACCTATCGCGAGTTCCTGCCCATCATTCTGGGCGAAGAGAAAATGAACGAGCACGACTTGAAACCTCTGAACTCGGGTCACAGGAAGCGGACGCATAATCCGGACGATTCAGAGAACGATCCGACAGTAGCCAATAACTTCGCGGCCGCGGCCTTTCGTTTCGCTCACACTTTGCTACCGGGATTGATGAGAATGACGGACGCCGAGAAGGGCACATCGTCCTACATGGAGCTGCACAGAATGCTCTTCAATCCATACAGCCTCTACGCCGCGGATGGCATCAGGCGCTCAATCAATTCCGCCACGAGCAACGTCATTCAGAAGTATTCCACACACGTCTCTTCGCAGCTGACGAGTCATCTTTTCGAAGACCCGATGGGCAACTCTACGGTGCCCTGCGGCCTGGATCTGGTATCGTTGAACATCCAACGAGGACGGGACCACGGATTACCGGGATACATCGTGTGGCGAGAATATTGCGGACTGGGAAAGGCGGAGACGTTTAGTGATCTTGAAGGATACTTGGACAATCAGGCTCTGGAACAGATTTCAATGCTGTATGAATCCGTCGACGATGTAGATCTGTATACCGGCGCGTTAGCGGAAATTCCGGAATCGGACAGTTTGATCGGACCGACGTTTACATGCTTGATCGTCGAGCAATTCACGCGTTTGCAGAAGGGGGATCGTTTCTGGTACGAGTTTGCCGAACAACCGTATCCATTTACAGAAGGTGAATATGTGAATTATAAAGTTTGCTTTCGAAACGAGCAAATTGCCAGAAGTTTATTTTAACGTTATTGATTCAACACTTTACCTTGTGCACTTTTAATAACAATGTTGATAATGTTAAATAAATATTGCTATCATTTTTTAATATTTATAGAAGCGTATTGTGTCAAAAAAGTAAGTACGATAAAAATGCAACAGAGAACTAAATCATATTTGCAAAAATTGCAGATCAACTCGTGGAACTGCGCAAGACTTCGCTGGCAAAATTAATATGCGATTGTTCCGATGGAATTACGCGAGCTCAGATGCAAGTTATGCGCTCCGTTGGACCCGACAATCCTATAATATCCTGCGAGAACATACCAACGCCTTCTCTTGCGCCGTGGAGAAGAAACTACACTTCCAATTTAGATTTGTCGTAATAATTTAAACTTCATAAATATAAGATTTATATATAAGTTCTCTGATAGATTAATTATTAAATCATTGAGCAATATTGCAAAATAAATATCATATTTTTATTGCGCAAAAAGCGGAATATACTTACATTTTCATATATTCTTATGCTGCTTATTTATTTTATTACATTTCTTTTAAACGCAACATTTATATTAAATTAATCAAACAAATTAAAAAAAAAATTTTATTTTAGATTAATTATTTTATGATAACAACAATAAGATTCTACAAATCTTTTTGCAAAGTTATTTTTTATACCTATTTTGATAATTATAAAAATGTATTTTCTATTATATCCTCATAATAAAATTGTCTTATGCAGTTGAATTAATTAATCAGCTGTCAGCTTACTTTATTTCGTTTCATAAATATAATAAAGTTCACGTATATATTTTTGTTACCGTCTAATGGTATTTCATTGCACAACATTATGTAAACTGTTGACAAAAGTCTAAAATTATTTTTACAAAAAATAAATATTACATATATTGCAAAAAATAATAAAAAATTACTTGTGAAAATTATTGAAAAAATTAAAAATTACTTATAATTTTTTATTGTCAGTTGCAATTTGGTGGCTTCAATAAATCAGCAATATTATTAATAAAACATCAATGTGAAAAATAAACGAATTCATTATAAGATAATAATTTTATGATATTGCACTTTACCCGTACTTTTCCATAATATCGAATAAAAGATTTCGAGTCATATGTGACACAGTTGATAATGCAGTTGCAAGTGTATTTGGACTTTTTTTTTTAGATTTGCGATGCACCTCGTTCCATTGACGTGATTACAGAAACAAGGATGGAGGGTGAATTAAGGATTGTGGTGAAATGGAGCGGAAAAGAATATGATATTCTCGATATTCAAGAGGAAGATACTGTTCTCACCCTGAAAGAACGTATACACAGGGAAACGGGCGTCCGTCCTGAGCGACAGAAACTACTGAACCTTAAATTTAAAGGTTATATTTTGAATTCTCTTTGATAATATTTGTCTCATGAAAATAGTTATTGGTGTGATTTTAATAATATCAATATCATCTCTGAAATATGACTAACTACATTATTAACCATTATATTAAATTTTAATTACAGTTTTAGTTGTATTTCTGTTATATCTGGAATATGTCAGAAAATTGTCAAAACAAATTTGTGTGTCTCTTTCTTGTATATATGTTAAATTTAATGACTTATCACATAATTCTTTTGCTTCTCATATTGATGTTTCGTCAATGAAGATAAATTGATAACAATTTTAGTTTATATTCTAAATTTGACTTTTATAAGATCTTGAGAAAAGTCTATAAAAACTGTTATTTTTTTAAGGTAAAGCAGCGCAAAATGAAGACATAATTGGCAAGCTAAACTTGAAACCTGGCTTTAAACTGATGTTAATGGGCTCCCGTGAGGAAGATATCGCAGAAGCCAGTCAAGCACCAGAGAACGTACCTGATGTGATCAATGATCTAGATATAGAGGAAGAAGAAGTAGAGATTGAAAAAGCTGAGATAAATCTACGTAAAATCCAGATACGAATCGATCGCTACGTGATCACAGAACTGAATCCTCTAAGGGAAGGTAAAAAGCTTCTTGTGTTGGATATAGACTATACTTTATTCGATCATAGATCAGTGGCAGAAAGTGGATCACAACTAATGCGTCCATATCTTCATGAATTCTTGACACGCGCTTACAAAAATTATGATATAGTCATCTGGTCGGCGACTAGCATGAGATGGATTAATGAAAAAATGAAATTACTGGGAGTTTCAAATCATCCAGATTACAAAATAGCTTTTCACCTGGATGTCCTTGCTATGATCACTGTTCACACCCCAAAGTATGGTGTTGTTGGAGTAAAACCATTGGGCATCATCTGGGGAAAGTACAAGCAGTTCTCAGCGAAAAATACAATAATGTTTGACGACATCAGAAGAAATTTCATAATGAATCCACAATCAGGATTGAGAATAAAACCTTTTAAACACGCTCACACCAGTAGAGTCAAAGACTTTGAGCTGCTTAAGCTATCGAGATACTTAGAGTTAATAGCCGACGTTGATGACTTTCAAATACTTAATCACAGAAAATGGGAAGAATATAAACCCAAAAAGAATGACCAAACCAGAGAACAAACCACCAGCGATGAAAAGAGTTAAATGTTTGATAAAACACTGATTTTTCTTCCTGATCTATACTTTGGTGGAAGCAAGCAAATATCAATTGATAAAGGAAAGCAATTTGAAGACTGTATATAATGAAATGTATGTATGAAAGGATGCATTTGTCAGTTATTTCAAAATTGTGGCTACAAGACTGTCCCATCGCATGCATTATATGTGAGAACAATGGGATTAATTTGACTAATGGATCCTCTGTTACAAGAAATTTTTACAATAATGCGTGATATTAAACTCTCTAAAAATACACATATTTTCACATGTCTCTTTGTATTTGTGATGTATCTACTGGTTGTGTTATACTGTACGTATATATAAGAGCCATTTAAACAAAACGCACGTATGGTCGAGTAAGAGTACGCGCGCGCAATGTTATAATGCGTTTAAGTAAGTCCGCCTGCTCCGTCATGCGTGCGATATTTCCTACGTGTATTCTCTATATGTATATGTCTCGCGAAAGTTGGTAAACTTATCGAGTTTCGCGACACGACATGAAACAATTTAATTCTTTACATTTACATGATCACACTGCGGGTTCCGTGCGGTATATTTCAGCTATTAACACGTAATGTGTGCGCTCCACACCAATTATGCAAATCGCAATGTCTCGCTAACTTAAATATTATACGCAAACAATGACGAGTTTGATTGCTAATACACGAAGTGTTCAAGAGTTTTTAAACTTTTTCATAAAAAAAAATACTGTTTCCATTTTTTTGTAAAAGTTTGAAGTATTAAAAAAAGGACGTAAAATATAAAAAATGTATACGGTGATTGTAATAAAGCTCATTTATCTGGAAATTTTGCTTTCAATTTTGTCTATCTTCTTTCGAAGTTTTTTGGATCTATAATTGTTAAAAATATGACGATCAAACATATATTTACCCAGAATATGTTCGCAATAAAATACATATAAAAAATCTGCTGGCATGAGTTCATTTTTATTGGATTTTTACGTACATTTTATGGATATTTCCGCATGAATGTGATTAAAAAAAATATTGCTAAACAATTTTTCTGAGCTATACAGCCTATATAAAAAGAATGTTTAAATCTCCCTTTCATTATTTAAAAGTTCATCATATGTTCTTACGGATAATATTGATATATCTTTCCTCTTTCTAATAATGTGAGAATAAAATTTCTGTACATAAAATGTATACTTAAACATTTTATTACTATTTTATTACTATTTTATTACTATTTTATTAGTATTGTGTTATGCATGAAAAAAAAACGTTTATCGATAAACAATCAAAGAAATGCGGAGAGATCCCGCCTCAATTATTCATATACTACCGACCAGGTCAAGAACAATTCCGTAACTGTAGACATCGAGAAACCGCCTCGTCGAATTATCGAGTGATTGGCTATATCGTTGTTGTGTCTATTGAGAAATAATAGAATTGATTCGCGTCGCGAACGATCGCTCGTCGTTGTTGCCTCCCACATCGAGGAGGCGAAGTTACCTAATGTAAGTGTTAGTCATGAGCAACATGGCGAGTGCTTGGTGGTAGGCGGATATTTTGCCTGACGCGGAAACGTCACACACATGCTGTCTGGTAGCTGTCAAATTCGTAAACGGGCAAAAAATGGAGCTGTTTCGTACTGACACGCATTTTATCTTCGTGAAAGAGAGGCACAGCCTTTGGTGCGACAAATATACCGGCGAATTCGCCGCGAAATCGGGTGGGTATGCGTGCAATTGCGTTTTGACACACAAATGAGACAAAGCGTCACTTGTCAAAAGCGAGCTTGATGTCGCGTAAAATCTTCGGTACGCGAATCACTTCTATTTCGAGTGGATGAACGCGTATACTACGGCCGTATATTTATGCATGTAGATGATACTTTCTAATATTCGATGTGTTTAAATATTTGATAGTTTTTAAAGGAATGCTCTGCTCGGCACTTAACAAAGACATTTTTTTAATGATCATTTTAATTAGAAACAATGGGTTTTGCAGATTGGGAATGGGCTGCTCCGAAAGATTTAGAATGCCTGGGAATGTTTTATGGAATAGTAGGAAAAATCGAACTGCCTGTATTGGAACCTCGCCTGATGCTGATAAAGGATGTGACACCAGTGGGAGAATTGCATGGCGGCCATGTAATCTATAAAATCAAATCCATCGCGTTTCTACACTTTGGCACAGAGAATACAGATATTGGCTTGCTGCCTTGTAAGAAACATCAGTATGTGTTGAAGAAGAAGGGGAGCAGTGGATTGTTTGATGTACCACAGAAAGCAGCACTGGCAAAAACTTGGGGTACAATTAAGAATGCCACAAATACCATAAAAAACACCACGCAGCATGCTGCTGCATTAGCTACGTCTCAAGTAAGGAGTCTACATTATTGACAATATAATCCATGTGTTATAAATGATAAATAATTTATAAATGTAATATTTTTATAGGTGAAGTCTACAGTCATAAAACGAAGCGTAGTGAAGGATAAAGAAAGATTTGAGAAGAGGATATTGGAGGAGCTGAATAAGATATTTACCGAAACTGATTCCTTCTTCTTCTGTCAGACCGGTGACATCACCAACAGCTTGCAAAGACAATGTATAACAGACTCTCAGCAGGAACAAGAGAAGCCATTGTGGCAGCGTGTGGATGACAGATTCTTCTGGAATAAACACATGTTATACGACATTATTAATTTGAATGTTAGTAATTTTTATGAAATCAGTTTTATCTATAGCTGAGTGCAGATAATGAAATTACAAGCAATATATTTGTTTATATAAACATCATGATATTGATAAAACTATATTGTGTGTGATAGCAAAATTTGTTTCATAACATATCTTTATTTATTTAATAATTGACAATTGAAGATATCTGAAGGCAGCTATACAATGATAACAATAATTAATCACCATTTTACTATTTACATCTTTACGCAATATATGTTATCTAAACTTGCTTATCTAAACTATGACTCATTTTGCAGACAGATAAAGCAAACTGCTGGATAATACCAATCATCCAAGGATATGTTCAAATAGAAAAATGTATAGTCGAAGTAGGTTTTGATGGACAACCACAGCAGGAGACATTTAACTTGGCGATTATATCGAGAAGGAGCAGATTCCGTGCTGGAACCAGGTAATTTTAACTTACGTAATGATTTTGACAATTGCTTGCTTACAATTATAAATTTAGTCTCGACTCGGTAATGTCTTAAACATATCGAAATTCGAAGAAATATTTCTAAACGTGACGTCACGCAGGTACAAGAGACGCGGAGTGGACGACGATGGCAAGTGCGCGAATTATGTCGAGACTGAACAATTGGTTTGGTATCACGATCATCAAGTATCTTTTGTACAAGTACGGGGAAGTGTGCCAGTGTATTGGTCGCAGCCTGGATATAAATACAAACCACCACCACGGATTGATAAAGGTATAAGACACAGATATTTTGTGCACAAAGCGATCTTCGCGGAGCACGGTAATCCGATACATAACGCTGTTACAGATGAGGCTGAAACGCAGATAGCATTTGAGAAGCACTTTGGTGAAGAACTTGTATTGTACGGACCCATTTGCATCGTTAATCTGGTCGAACAGTTCGGCAAAGAGAGGATAATTTGGGAAGCCTACAGCAATCATGTGTTTAACTATAATAATTCGGCTATAACATACACCACTTTCGATTTCCACGAGTATTGGTAAGTGTCTAAGCAAACTGTAGCTCTCACGCTTCTCATCGGCATCATTGCGTCACGAATTTATGTTGTATCTGAAAAATTTTGTGCCTAACACAGTCGAGGAATGCATTTCGAAAACGTGTCTATTCTGGTTAGCGCGTTGGCTACAGTGCTGGCAGACATGGGTTACTGCTGGCGCGATAGACAAGGTACGATTTGCATGCAAAAGGGCGTATTCCGCGTGAATTGCATAGATTGCTTAGATAGAACAAACGTGGTGCAAACCGCTCTGGGTAAAGCTGTTATGGAAATGCAGTTTTCGAAATTGGGACTAATACCACCCGACGGAATTCTACCCGCAAACATAAGACAGACTTTTCAATCGCTGTGGGCTAATAATGGCGATATTATTAGCAAGCAATACGCAGGAACAAACGCTTTAAAGGTCTGTACAGCTCAACTGTCCAAAGTCCATCTTACCGAATAACAATCGGTGTGACATAAATTGTCTCTACATAATTCATTATTATTTATAGGGAGATTACACGCGCACCGGAGAGAGAAAATTTACCGGCTTGATGAAAGACGGCATGAATTCCGCAAACAGGTAGAACGACACATTCCTGCCCTTTATATTCTCTATTCTGCTTAAACTCCCCGTATCTTTCATTTGTACTTTCATTTCCGACATCTCACACGACACAAACGAGAAACCGTCGATAATATCCCAAGTTAGATAATCGAATGTTGTTCTATAGGGCCTTGACATTGTCCTTTCATTTTCCTATAGATATTATCAGCAACACTTTATGGACAACTTACGTCAGGCGGCGATAGATACGTTGCTCGGGAACCCGATCGACGTTGATCAACTGAACAACAATTGGTCACATTATTTAAATGTCCTTGATAATTGCTGTCTCGAACTTATACCTATGAAACCACCAAATATACAACTTCAACTTGCTACACACCCTGACTTCCTTTATGCCAATGCCCTCTATAATTTAGCAAGGTTCGTTGCTTGCTTCTAGCTTTGCGTTTGGACAAGTTTAGCGGAGATTAAAAAAGATATTAATCTAATTACTCTTAGAAATCAGTCTAATTGCTTTTATCTCAAATCATGTGGCGCATAAGGATACGCTTTGTGCTATTGTCAGCATGAAATTATATTTATTGTGCTGTACAAATTCTTTCGCATGTTCAGCTTTGTGACCTCTCCCTTACTTCGTTTAAGAATACAATTGATATCTAGGTCTATCATCTTTATATCGCTATCACTTAGTAAACTTGGAAAAAGCTGCTTTCTCTTCTTTAAACAATTTCTTGTATACATATATATAGAGTCTGATTTATCAAGTACTTGGATTGACAGTTTTTTGGTGCTGTTTTATTACTTAATCTTTTTCAGCACAGCTGTATATAAAAAAATTGAAATATCTTTGCAGATATTATTTGAATCGTTTCAAGGATGTCTACAGACAAGCGACAATCGATATGATGCTGGGAAATACTGTGAGCGAAGAAGTATTCCTAGAACGCACAGAAGAGGAAGATAATGCGGCAACTGCTATTCACGTGAAACTATTGATCGAAGATTGTAAAAAATTATTAATACCTGACCCGGAAATCATTCTGGGCAGTTGGGGACTTATCGATGCCGATCCTGTGTATGTATGAACAAATTAAATATTCGTAATGTATTTTAATGTCGTCTTTATATTAATTTGTTCAATTAAATTTTGCAGCACGGGTGATCCAACGGAGACAGAAATGGATACTATTTTAATATTGACTCGAGATAGCTATTACATAGCGGATTATGACGATCAGATCGATAAAGTCACAAATTATCAAAGCGTTCTTCTCAAAGATATCGTCTTGATCGAATTCGGTCAGCCTGAGAATACAGTTTCCTTCTTCAAGAATAAGCATTACTACTGTATCCGAATCAATTACAAAGTGAATGGCGAATACGGTTATTTTCACATGTTCCGTAGTACAAATTTAAGATTTTTTAATAACATGGCGGTTGTGATTAAAACTGAAGAAGAAAGCATAGGTGGGAATTTTTCTTTAACTCTTCTTACTCAGTTTCGCATCGTAATGTTTCGATGAATTTTATATATCTATCATTTTTTTTTATTACAGAATCTCTAAAAGCAATTTGCGAAGCAATTTCAGTAGCCATGGAAATAGCAGGGTTGCCAAAGGTTCCTGTAGTCCTGAATGTCGCGTTAGATAAGAGAAAGAGTAAATTGGTAAATATTAAAGGCTCTACAGGGTTACTGGACATTTCGTCGTTCCCAGAAATGACAAGAAATGTGTCCGAAACACAGTTACTCGCTTTGAAGACAGCAGGTTTGTTTAAAATAACTTCTATATAATTTTAGACACACATAACGAATAAGATATTTATGAAAGTGAAAATTCTCAGGTACAAAAGCTTTAAGCAACATGTCGGAGCAGTTTAGCAAACTGAATAAACTAAGTTTTGGCGCGAAGAAGCCAATTGATCTGGCCAAGGGCACAGGTGGCAAAGGAACGGATGAAGTATCGAAACCGATCTTTACCGTCGGTAGCAGAGATATCGCGGGCAACATAAAAGAGAAGAGCGGCAGCGGCAGTAGCAGCAACAGCAGCAGCAGCGAGAATATCGAAATGACGCACATACCCGTCGAGAAGCCAGCGAACTTCAGTCACGACAAGCATTTAATGGAAGCTTATACGCCGCTAATCGGCATTATTATGGGCGTGAAGAACACCAACGTTGTGGACGGTGATGTTTGCGAGACAAACGCGAACGAGTTATCTGCACCAAGACATAACAATATGAATTCAAGTTCAAAACCCGATATGGCAATTGACGCGCTGCATCTAATACCGCAAGGTGGATCTGGCGCCAGTATCATGAGCGCTTCGCCGCAGAAGACCACGGCGACCACGCCGGAGATAACAGTTTACGACGTCGGGGATAGCGTAGGCGAGGAGAGAGAGCGAATGATACCGTCAACTCTAACGCTTTTCAAAAATATCAGTCACTCGACGGGAGACGTCGACAATAAAGCATCATCGATCGGTACTAAGAGTATTACACTTCAAACGGACGGCAGACTGGATGAGAAGAAAAGATCAGCTTCCGAAAAGGATCTGACGCTGAACATCACATCATCCCAAAGCGAGTCCGCTTTGAAGTCCATAAAAGATAATATTACAAATGTTACTAGTCCAGTAGCGTCCACGGCCAAGGATATTCTGTTGCCGTTCTCGAAGTTTGCGAAGGGTGTGCAAACGTTAGGGGCTAATTTAGATCCTAGAAAGCTAAAGACAGGTAATGTGATGCGTTTGTCGGAAAACCAAATAGAAGAGCGACAGAAGCTTCAGGAAAGATGGATCTCTTGTCAATCTAGACTTATTGCTTTGTAAACATTTACTATTAGAATGACCAGCTTTCCGAAAGCAATTCATCATAAATTATCAAATTTAGGGCTTACTGTATATTCGTAAATACCACGAATTCGATATCATAGCGATGCAAATGCTACGCGCTCTCTAAAAAAAAATTGAAATAAAGTATTAAAGGATTGTATTATAGACAGTTTTACTATTTAAATTGTGTAGTTTAATATGAAAAAAATATCACGTAGAAAATAGCGAACAATTTCGATCACGTTTTGTAGAAAATCCTTATAAATTGATCTCACTGCACCTATTTCGTATTTTCACACTTCACGAATGCAGTATTCTTGATGTGAAACATATAAAAACTAATCTGCTGTAAGAAAGAAAGCAGAATCTACACTACGACGAACACAACTAACACAGAGTACAATGTGGTCAATATTTATTCGTAGTTAATTAATTTGACGAGCTAATGAATACCAAACAAGTTCTGTATCGCTATGAAATTGTGCTAGCTTTTAGCACATTATTTTCTTGAATCAGCGTCTATATAAATCTTATTATATACCTGCTAAATTTTTTGGGCATATTTTTACAACTTTTTAATGGCATTTTTCTGAAATTAGCATATTTAATGCGACCAATCTGAATTGAAAAAATACTAGTCTGAATATTTTTTGAAGGGATTGAATGCCTTATATATTCTTGTTGACTGCCTTATTCTTGCGTGAAACTAAATTCTCTCTATTTTAGTATCGAGATTTTATTTTTTTTAGCAGAAATATTTTATTCTATTAATATGTGTAGATAACTTTTTATATAAAAAGATATGAATAATTAAAAATGCAGATGAGACGATTTATTTCTATATGACGTCGAAGAAAGAAGCTTCATAGTCAATTATGTAAATACAGAGAATTATTTAAATATAGTTTAGTAAAATATATATAGCAAAGTTAATGATGAAAATGTGTTTTGAGATATATGGTTGTCAGATATAACTATTTCTTGTTAATTTTTCGAAGTGTGTTAAAATTTTTTGAAAAACGTATAAATGATACAATTGATTTGAAAAACAGTGAAAAACAAGACACATGTAGAAGAGTTAAAAATTTTTGTTGAATTATAAAGTTGATTAAAATTCTCTAAATTCATAAATATATTAGACTATTAATTATAATTTAAAAATGCAACAGCAGAACTAAATAGCAAGTTTATTGTGATGACGTTTCAGTGTTCTAATTTTAGATGCTTTAATAGTTGTTACAAACTTAAAGTGTCTCAAGAGTCAGCAAAGATTCAGTATTATATCAAATATATGCTATTTACGAAACTGCAAGATTTGTGTGTATGTAAATCAACGATGTAGGAAGATTAGACACAATAAATTATTGCGCAAATATTGTATTTAAAGTTAGGAAATCATGACTTTACATTGCCCACTATTGTAAATATTTCATTCCGATAGTTTCCAGTTCCGTTTTGGAAACGCATTAATATTATAGCAGTCCTAAACTCGTATTTTTAGCGAATGTTCTTTTTACCGTAATAATAGTCTGTGATATAATCTTATAGAATACATACAGCTCAGATCCATGATTCAGAAATGTATGCATTCTGAAAGAAATTTAGCGACGCTTTAGAATAAGAAGCATGTAACTAGACAGTTTGTAAGTACTCATTTTTAAAGAATTTTAATTTTGACTGGACACAAAGTCGTTATTTACTAATTAATTAAAAAAAAAATAATCATTAAAAAATATGTATTTAAATTCTATTCAATGAATGCAATGTAAGGTCCAATGCAAATTTAATATCGAATCTGTGTGATGTGTTATCACGTATTTGCAGTAGTTATAACATTATGCTCTGCGAGAAATATTTGAATTAATTCTGTGTGAAATCAGATTGCTAATCTTCGAAACCAGTAACTGATTTACCAAGAATTTAAAATATTACTTTTTCTCTATTTTTATAAGAATATTTTTTAATTTTTTTCTTTTGATTGAAATTTGAGATAAAATTAAGATGTTAGAAGAGAAAAATTAAGATGTTAGAATTAATTATTTTTTAATTCATATATTCCTTGCAGAATAAAAATTGCACATTTGAGAAATCGTGTGTAGAGCCTGTGAAGGCTTGATATGCCTTATATATGTATCCGCTATTATGTTCTCGTAAGATTGTAATAAAGACATTTGCGTATACACCAAATATAGCAAACATTGACAGCACTTGTAGAACAAATAAAACATATTTGACTTGTGAGTTTTGATTTCGATTTTCCTCAAACTATTTAAGATTCGCAAAATAAAGCACTGTTAAATTCATCCAAATCAATTAAAATATTTGTTATTTTTGTCCGTAATGTATGATAAATAATTTCTGCAATATGTTTTAAACCCGCTTATTTTAATTCAATCGCTCGAGCTCAAAATTGAGCAATCATATTTAGCGCCAAATAATTTAGTAGATAGTAATGATTGTCTCGTTTGCCATCTGGTAGTCACAAAGTGAAACTTGACATATAAATATATACCTAAACTTACCTGTAAATTATTTACTGATGCGAATGAAAACACGTGGGAGGTGTAGAGTGTTATGAAGACAGGATGAGCGATGAACATGGTGTAGAGTGTTTATGGGGAGATGTCAAAAATCATCCGCAATGCCCTCACGGTAGTTTTCATACCTGTAGACATAGTAAAATTTATTAGTTTTATGTCAAGAATTATTTCTTTTAATTGATCTTTCTTTCTACAGGACCAACATTACTTTTTGGTAGATACATTAATGGTGAATTAGAGAAATTTTACGCGTGCTCTGCTTGTCGACACAGAAAATTATGCAGATTCTATTTAAAGTATGAACAAAAACTGTCAAAGTTTCAAAAAAATGCATGGGAGAAGGAAAAGAAGCAACTTGTTCAGCGTTGCCCTCATCAAAAATTATATATCCGTTTTAATAAGATCAAAGCAGAATCTGTGATAAATAGATGTTATTGCCATAATTGTGAAAAATTAATACTTAATTCAGAAAAGGATAAACATATTGATCACGAGGTTATAGAGAATTTAACGGATCATCAGATGCATCATCCAACAGAACTTCTGAAACCTCTAGATAACGCAAAGAAGGAAGCACAATACTTATTCTCTAAGAAATCTACGAAAGATATAGTAAACATGCTTTTGAAGCTTGGAGCTAAGCAAGTTCTTTGCATAGGAACACCAAGAATACATGAATACATAACTGAGTACCACATAGATGAAATGTCTTCTCTCCTTTTAGATTTGGATGGAAGATTTGTAAGTATTTCTAAGACTTACTAATTTTTATATTAAATTATAAGATATTTTAATAATTATAATAATTTTAAAATTATATAATTATAGCATAACTTTTTTGGACCATTGGATTATTGTTGGTACAATCTTTTCAATAATCATTTTTTTAACAAAGATGCAGTTGATGTGTTCAAAGATTTCATCACTCAAAATGAAGGAAAGAACACTTACTTAATATGTGATCCTCCATTTGGGGGTCGTGTGGAACCCATATCATATACATTGAAAACTATATCAGATTTGCATAAAAAATTAAATAAAATTAATGATGATAATTTTTCCTTAAAGATTATGTTTATATTTCCATATTTTATGGAGCACATAATGAGAGAAAAGAGCAATCCACCATCAGTGATTGGTGGTTTGAGGGATTTGAAAATGTCTGATTACAAGGTTGATTATGATAACCACCCATTGTTTATGTCAAATAAACAAAGCAAAAAGCAGGGTTCTCCAGTAAGAATCTTTACAAATATATCATTAAAACTGCTCGAGCTTCCTGCATCTGATGGATACAAATTTTGCAAAGATTGTGAAAAATGGGTTTCTAGCGAAAACAAACATTGCAAAAGGTGTAAGGAGTGTACTTCCAAAGATGGTCGTACGTACAAACACTGTAAGATATGCAAGCGATGTGTGAAGCCTACTTGGAAACATTGTGAAACATGCAAAAGATGTTTGTTGGAAAAACATAAATGTGGTCAAATTCCAAATATTGTAGGTAAATGCTTCAAGTGTAATAAATTTGGTAAGTGTTATAGCGTATTTTTAATCATGCATAGTTATTTCTCTTACTAATAATATTTTATTAATTTACTAGGTCATACTGGCAAAGAATGCCCTAATTCATCGTCTATTGAAGCTACAAATGAGACAAGTGTAAAGAAAGACAAAATAGTTAAGAAACGCAAAGCAGAGAATGAATTAAAGATATCTTCGACTAAAAGAGGCAAAATTGAACATTCAAAAAAACTTGTTAAA